AAGATTGCGAAGATCTGAAGGAATGGGTTGATATGAAGTCTCTTCAAGCTCAAGATGATACGTACCGTGACACGGCGAATATTCATACGAAATATCTTCGCCATCAAGCATTTCAAGCTGAAATAACTTCGAATAAGGAACGTCTTCTCGCTTTGAAACGTCATGCTGATCAATTGAAAGAGGAACATCGTCAACAGATCGATCCAAATTCAATCGACCAACGTATCGCTGAACTCGACGAACTCTGGCTGAAACTTGAAGATATCACACGAGAAAAAGGCGAACGGTTATTCGATGCGAATCGCTCGAAATTATTTCAGCAATCGATTACTAATCTCGATGAATTCATGTTAAATATTGAAAAACATCTATATGCTGGTGAACAAACAACCACTCCATCCGATCAAATCGATGGACAAGTGCAAGCCGTATCAACTACGGCGACGCTCGAACCGTTGGAAAACAATCTAACTGCAACTAATCTTCTACTGCTCAAACAAACAACAATTGAAGAAGAATTATTGAAACGTCAGCAACAAGTTGATGAATTACGTGTTCAAGCCGAAAAATTGAAACAATTAGAACCGGAAAAAGCCGAAGAAATCGATTCGAAACGTTTACAAGTCGAAGAGAAATTCTCTAAACTTCTCCTTCCACTTGAACAAAAGAAATTACGCTTAGAACAACAGAAACATCTTCATCAATACTTTCGCGATATTGAAGATGAACAAATCTGGTTAAGTGAAAAACGTCACTTATTACAAACATACGCTGACTTGATCTTCAATAATAAACAGCAAACCTTAATGAATATACAACTATTGAAACGAAAAAATGAATCTTTACTAAAAGAAATCGAAAATCATGAACAACGTCTTTTAGAACATTTACAAACGGAAAAAACGCGTATCACTCAAGATTATCCGTCACGTGCCGAAGAATTCCAAGAACGTCTCGAACAACTATCAGATAATTACATTCAATTGAAAGAAACAATTAAGCAACGCCGTGAACATATCGAACTATTAGAAAATGTCTATCAATACTATTACGATTTAAGCGAAGCGGAAGCATGGCTTGGCGAACAAGAACTCTACATGATGAGCGAAGAACGTGGTAAGGATGAATTAGCAACTCAAGCCTTTATTCGTAAACAGCAAGCGACGGAACAGACCATTGAAAATTATAGTGATATTTTGCGAGAACTAGGTGAAAAGGCGAAGAATTTAATACAAGATGTCGAACAATCAAATCTTTCACGTGATCTTATTAATGAACATCATGAATTGATCAATAAACGGCAAACACAATTAGATAAATTATATGCCAGTTTGAAAGACCTATCAGTTGAACGACGACAACGCCTTGAAGAAACACTGAAACTTTACCGTCTCCATCGCGAAATCGATGACTTAGAACAATGGATATCTGACCGAGAATTAATTGCCGGTTCGCATGAACTTGGTCAAGATTTCGAGCATGTTTCAATGCTACTCGATCGTTTTGCCGCATTCGCTCAAGAAACCGAACAGATCGGTAATGAACGTTTACAACACGCCAATGAAATGATCGATATCTTAATCGCTAATGGACACGTTGATTCCGCTCAAATAGCTGAATTGAAAGATACACTGAATGAATCCTATCAAGATCTATTAGAAATGATCGAAACACGTTTACAATCCTTGAAAGCATCATGGGAACTGCAGAAATTCTTACATGACTGCAAAGAAATTCTACTGGCCATGCAGGAACGTAAAAATACGATACCAGATGAAATTGGCCGCGATCAACAAAGTGTTCAACAATTGTTACGCAAACATCAACAATTTGAAACGGAACTGGTTTTGTTAGCCCAAGATATTCAGCGTATCCAACAGGAAGCTAAACGCTTGAATGGCAGATATGCTGGTGAGAAAGAAGCAGAAATTCGACAAAAAGAAACAGATGTACTAACTCAATGGAGATTATTACAACAATTTGTGGATCAACGAAAACGTTTACTCAATGATTATGAAGACCTTCATCGATTCTTCAATCTAACAAGAGATTTACATATGTGGATGGACGGCATGATTCGCCAGATGACTAATAGTGCTAGACCACATGATGTTAGTGGTGTAGATTTACTGATGAATAATCACCAAAGTTTAAAAGCAGAAATTGATGCAAGACAAGAGAATTTCACCATGTGCATCAATTTAGGTAAAGATTTAATTAACCGACGACATGCTCGATCGAATGAAGTTAAAGAGAAATGCGTACAGTTATCGATGTTACGTGATCGTCTTGAGGATACATGGCATGAACGTTGGGAATACTTACAGCTGATCCTTGAAGTTTATCAATTCGCACGTGATGCAGCTATTGCTGAAACATGGTTAATTGCTCAAGAATCTTACTTAGCCAATGAAGAACTTGGTGAAACATTGGATCAAGTCGAAAATCTCATTAAACGCCATGAACAATTTGAAAAATCTCTCATGGCACAAGAAGATCGCTTCAATGCTTTACGCAATCTGACTACATTAGAAAAGAAACGACAATTGCCACCGGTTGAGCCACGGCAAAGTCGTTTACCAATCTATCTAGAAGAATTCAAAACTTGGGAAGAACGCGATGCCGAACGGACAACTGCATCAGGCGACCGATCGAAATACAAATCGACAACTACCGAAGCTAAAACAGTTACAGATAGCAGTGGTCGTCCGACAACATTACCTGGCAAACAACGTTCTAGTCAAGATTATGAATCTATGAGTGGTAAACAACATCGATCGGAATCAGCCACACGTGTACCAACTCTCAAGGAAGGTTTCCTCTCACGCAAACATGAGTGGGAAGGACTCGAACGTAAAGCAACACATCGTGCTTGGGAGAAGTACTACTGTGGTTTGACAAACAATCGTTTATCATTTTATAAAGATGCTAAACATTTGAAATCAGGACGAACAGTTAGCGATGATCTTCATCTCGATTCATCAACTAGTGTTTCACCAGCCACGGATTATCGTAAAAAACCCAATGTTTTTCGCTTGAAACTTCATGGTGGTAATGAATATCTATTTCATGCGAAAGACGACCAAGAAATGAATGAATGGATCTCCTCGATTAACAATTGTATTTCTTCACTATCAACTATAATCAGCACAGGACCAACAGCAGGAGGTGCGAGTGCAGCAGCAGAGATACCCTCTGTAGCCTTAACATCACCACCAATTGGTATCGGTTCATCGTCATCGTCAAGCTCGCCGCGACATCAAACTCAAGTACCGACAATGACAACAAGTTCATCAGGTAAAAAATTCGACTTATGTTCTCGACGATTTCCCAACGGAAATCTGTTCTATTAAGGTATTGAAATGGCGCAGGGCCCCACAAGTGCCGAACAGAAATCTCGAACATTACCATCTCAATCTACTACCACAGTTGAACAAAGTTCAACTCAACAAGCCTCAAGTGGAAAGAAGAAATCAGGCGGATTTTTTTCCATAAAAAAGAAATGAACAGAGAATGATATTCTGGTGTCCAAAACAATGATTTCTATTCTTCGTTTTCTCCAAACAGATCATAATTCATTCATTGCCAGAAATAAAATCAGATCACACCATAGATTTCCTAGTCAGTATTGATCTCTCGTTTATGGGATGATTTTTTTCTGGATTTCTCTCGTTTTTTTTTATATCTTCCGTTCTATTCACCAACACAATATATTGCTGTGCTCAGATTTTTCTTTCTCATTGCTTCTGTTTCTTTTCTCTCTTCATGCGCATAAACATATATATATATATATACATAGTTGTTCCTAAACCCTCATGTAATTCTTAGTAGTTTTGAAACAATAAGAATAAAAGTTCGAATTCCCTGTTGTTGTTTGTTTGTTGTTGTGTGTGCTGTTCAATGGTGATTTTGTTTATCTTAATTTCGTTGTTTTTTTTTTACATTATTTTTTTCTCTCTTAATGCTCATATATGGGTGTATTCGTTGTTTCGCTTTTGCGTTCGTCTATATTTCAACTCTCTTCTTTTCTTTTTCTCGCTGAAATTACATCATCAATACTTTCTACTAAGAAAAAAAATCGACAAAAAAAAAGCACACACATTCATGTACAATTAGATTCTCTTCGACATTGATCAACATGTCTTGACGCAAGTCGACAAACAAATGAAATTAGTGTCATTAGGATGACATGTATTTGACCTTCATTAAACAACAATACTAGCTTTGTTAAGAATAAGTATATGCATAGCTGCTAGTCTGACATTATTTGATGATGAAGATCGATCTAAATACGATAGAACAAATGCCAAACTATCATGTAACGTGTTGCATATGAATACGTATCGATTTACACATCATTCTCATTCTATGTGAAGGTTGATACTTAATAATTGCCATTATCTTATTAAGTTTTTCGTTTCTGATTGTCTGTTTGATCATCGTATTGACGCTTCCACTGCGATTTTATTATGGGTGAGAGAGAGAGAGAGAGAGAAAGAGAAAATAAAGGATTTGTCTTCTTGTCGGAATATATACTTGAATTAAATTTCTTTTGTCCTTCACTATCGACCCGAACATGATAATCATTATTAATTTATAATGATGCTAAACAGTTGATTTGGAAAGTCATGCAAAATGGAGAGAAGAAGCTGACAAGAAAAACAGAACTGGTTAGAATTGACAAGTGATGTAGTACAAACGAAAGGACGACCATGCTCGACATCTTATATTCCACTAGCGACATCACCTGAAAGAGGTCGATTCGAGCACGATGATTCGAGGAAATTTATCACCCGATTATTATTTATCTATGTGCTATTTGATGTCTCATACAACAATCTGGCGACATAACATTCTCTCATACATTAACTATTTCGTTTTTGTTCTTTTCTTTTTCTAGTATTTATTATTTTCTCCTTGTTAAACTTCGAAGAAAACAAAAAGGAAGATCGACTCTTGTGCGAACATATTTCAATGACTATTCAACTGTATGTTTTTGAATGGAACATGCGCCACTAGTTAATGAAGATGACGAAGCAAATGAATGTTGTTCCGCAGACGAATTCGAATTGAAACCTCGAAGTCATTGGAAAAATTCAATTGAATCGAAATCGAAAACTAAAGTCAAAGCAGCGAAAAAAATGGGTCTGTCCTGTTCATCGATTTTATCATTATGTCGCAACAAAGCGCACAAAACTCAGCCACGTAATGTTATGATCGGCCGACGTGATCTTAATTCCATATGGTATCCAAAAAATGTTATCCGTAATCAAAAATACAATATCTTAACATTTATTCCACTTGTTCTATTCGAACAATTTCGTTTTTTCCTTAACCTTTATTTTCTTATTATGGCTTGTACACAATTCATCCCTATGTTTCGTGTTGGTTATCTGTATACATATTGGGGTCCCTTAGCATTTGTGTTATTCGTAACAATGTTACGCGAAGCTTACGATGATATTAAGCGAGCCTATCGAGACAAAGAATTGAATTCACAGATGTATACTTTACTATGTAGTAATGGACGAAGGAAGAAAGTTCCTAGTTCACAATTACAAGTATCCGATGTAGTTATTATACAGAAAAATCAACGCGTGCCAGCAGATGTTGTACTACTACAAACATCGGACAAGTCAGGTAAATTATCTTAATTTGTGTGCAATGTAATAATTATCGAGATGATCATTTCTGTCTGAGTCTACTGACAGAAGCAGGAGCCTCTGTAAGCAATTGGAAAGGATCCATTTCAATATTGACTTGAATAGAGAGAACAATCTTGAATATGCCATGTCAATAGTATTCAGATAAAAAAAATGACAGATGTTATCAGTGTTTCCTGTAAAGTCTCTAGGGAATATTTGGATCATAATTGTATTCATTTTAGGTACCTGTTTCATTCGTACCGATCAATTAGATGGTGAAACCGATTGGAAACTGCGTATTGCCGCTCCACTTACTCAATCCCTTGAAGACATCTCTCTTCTTATCTCTGAGACAAGTGCAACAGGAAAAATTCATGCTGAACCACCTAGTCTAAGTATTCATGAATTTAATGGCGTCGTCTCATGGAAACAAGATGAACCGCTGACGGTGGAAAACGTTCTCTGGTCAGGCACAGTCGTTGCTACTGGTGAAGCTGTGTGCTGTGTTATCTATACCGGCTCAGATACACGTATGGTTATGAACACAAGTAAACCACGCTCTAAAGTTGGTCTACTCGATAATGAAATAAATACATTAACAAAATTACTATTTATTGCTCTGGTTCTTCTATCTATTGTTATGCTTGTATTGAAAGGTTTTCGTGGACCATGGTATCGATATTTAGTTCGATTCTTTCTCTTGTTTTCCTACATGATACCAATCAGTCTTCGTGTTAATCTTGACATGGGTAAGACAGTTTATGCTTGGTTTATTCAACGAGATAAAAATATTCCTGGTACTGTTGTACGCACGAGTACAATTCCCGAAGAACTAGGACGTATTGGTTATCTTCTTTCGGACAAAACGGGAACATTAACACAAAATCTAATGATTTTCAAACGTATTCATTTGGGTACCGTTTCCTATACGAATGAAAATCAAAACGAAATATCGAATCTACTCAAACAACAAATGAAAACGATCACTACGCCCATACATGAGAATCAGCAGCCAATTACATCGACATCGAACAAAGCACGTAGTGTTGTGAAGAAAACGGAAGCAACGAAAGTGCCCGAAGCAGTCAAAGCATTAGCTCTATGTCACAACGTTACACCGGTGTTTGAAGAAAAATCTTCTTCTTCGTTGGATACATCAGCGCGTTCAACTGACGATAAAAACACAACAACGACATTAATTAATCGCATGTCAACGGCAGGACGAATCGTGGATCCTAGTTCCTTACCAGATACACCATTAACCGGTGCAACTTCACTGAATACTACCGATGCATCAGATTTAACACAATTATTACCACCTACAGGTATGTAAACCCAACTTTCTATTTATATACATGTATATTTATAATTGACTTCATTTGCCTTTCTTTTCATACTACAAAGAAAGACTATAATAATGATGATTATAATCTGCCATCTTTTAGAAATATCCAAAGGTGGGCTACACGTACCTAGCTATGATCTACTAGTAGTTATGCTTTGACATTATTCATATTTTTGTGCTCTAGCTACATGCAACATAAAGTGTTATGTCAGAAGAAGGCAAAACAAACTAGACAGAAATTCATTGAACTCACTACTACTCAGTTTTCTTTCCGTAGTCATAACCGGATGTAGAAGAGACCAAAGGAAGAAAAAAAGGAATGAATGATTGTGCATGTAAGATAAACAAAAATGCATCGGCTTCCGCATGATAATAATGGATAATATAAACAGATGAGAGCTGATGTAGCTTCCTTAATTGATATTTTGATTTATTCTCAGTTCAACGAAAGATAATGAAAAAAAAAACGAATTCGAGTTTTCTGCACATGATATTGAATTGTTTATCTTTCCTTTTCTTAGATGTCACCTATCAGGCATCAAGTCCCGATGAAATAGCTCTTGTAGAATGGACTGAGCAAGTTGGTTTGACACTTGTCCATCGTGATCTACAATCCATGACACTACAATTGAATTCAACCCAACAATTGTTACACTATCAAATTCTTCAGATGTTTCCATTTACATCTGAAACCAAACGAATGGGAATTATCGTTCGTGACGAACAGACGAATGAAATCATCTTTTATTTAAAAGGTGCTGATGTTGTCATGCAAACTATTGTTCAATACAATGATTGGCTACAAGAAGAATGCAGTAACATGGCACGTGAAGGTCTCCGTACATTGGTTGTAGCAAAGAAACATCTCACCATTGAACAATATCAAGAATTTGAACAACGTCTAATGAGAGCACGTTTACAAACAATTGATCGAAATCGCCGTGTGAATGAAGTCATCGAAACTCTAGAACGTGACATGGAATTACTTTGTGTAACAGGTGTTGAAGATAAGTTACAAGAGAATGTTCGACAAACGCTAGAAACTTTACGAAATGCCGGAATTAAAATTTGGATGTTAACGGGTGATAAACTAGAAACAGCAACATGTATTGCTAAAAGTTCGAAACTCATCGGACGAGATCACGATATATATACATTTAAACAAGTCACAACCAGAGAAGAATGTTTACAAGAATTGAATATGTTTCGAAGAAAAGCAGATGCATGTTTAATTATCACAGGTGATACATTGCAAATTTGTTTGTCTTTTTATGAAAAAGATCTCATGGAATTAACCATTCAATGTCCAGCTGTTGTCGTGTGTCGATGTTCACCTACACAAAAAGCGAATGTTGTTGAATTGTTAAAAAAGTATGGTAACCATCGGGTACGCGTTTGTGCGATTGGCGATGGTGGGAATGATGTTAGTATGATTCAAAGTGCAGATGTTGGTGTTGGAATTGTTGGAAAAGAAGGTTCGATCATTAGTCTTTCGTGAACACGATTGATAATCAATCATGTTTTTCTTTCTAGGCAAACAGGCATCACTAGCGGCCGATTTTTCAATCAATCAATTTTCATATTTATCACGTTTACTACTTGTCCATGGTCGAAACAGTTACAAACGTTCGGCGGCTCTTTCACAGTTTGTCATGCATCGTGGTTTGATTATCAGCGTCATGCAAGCGATCTTCTCTTCGATCTTCTACTTTGCATCGATATCCTTATATCAAGGCTTTCTATTAGTCGGTTATGGAACTGTTTATACAATGTTTCCTGTGTTTTCTTTGGTGTTGGATAAAGATGTACGATCCGAAATTGCCCTCTTATATCCTGAATTGTATAAAGAACTGTCGAAAGGAAGAAGTTTATCATTTAAAACATTCTTTCTGTGGGTGTTTATTTCAATCTATCAAGGTGGAGCAATCATGTATGGATCATTTCTTCTGTTCGACGATGATTTTATACATGTTGTTTCGATTACATTTACATCATTGATATTAACAGAACTATTGATGGTCGCACTTACGGTAAAAACCTAATTTCTCAGTCTTAAGAATTGTTTCCATAACAAAAGAAAGTCAGGAGTACCTTTTGATCTCATTTTCAATTTTAACTATATAATAGCGAGTAGGACTATTTCCTAAGCGGATGTTCACATCACGGATACTGAAATGACTTTCTCCTATACATTTCTTTCATCATTTCGTATAGATTCGAACATGGCATCCTGTAATGATTCTTGCACAATTATTAAGTTTGGCTTGTTATGTTCTTTCGTTGATTGTTCTGAAGTCACATTTCGATCCTGAATTTCTTCAATCGTGGGATTTCATCTGGCGTGTTCTACTCGTTACATTGATATCATGTTTACCACTCTATATTCTAAAATTCGTTCAAGTCAAATGTAAACCTCCCATACAACAAAAACTCATGCAGTATGCAACATTGAAATAAATGAACGAACAATTGATTCGGCAATAGAATATACCTTCTTTCTTCTTCATTTTGTTTGTTTGTTTTTTTTCTTCTTCTTCTTCTTCTACTTCTTCTTTCCCAAGGGCTGTGTCGATTTTGTGCGACAGTATTTATTCTTTCTTTTTCTTTTCTTCTCTTTTTCTTTGCTCTTTATCCCATCTATTCAAAAGCATGTGTGTTACAGTGAAGATAATATAAAATATATATATGATGATGATGGAGAAGTTTTAAAAAACAAATTGATCAATTATTGTTATTACTTCTATTCTAGATAAATGGACAATGCTTTACCATTTGACTATCTTTCATCATTTTCAACTATTACTATTTGTTTAACATTTTCTATTGCTTATGTTCTTGGTCTATACATATTATCTCCATCATCACGTCGATACGAACGTAATCATTCACATGTGATCTGTCGAAGATTTCTCGCCGTTTTTGCTGTTTGTTTATTAATATATTTGTTTTTAAAGCACACATGTAATCCAAATATCAATATTAATTTCTGGTTAGGCTTCCGAACAAATATTCCATCGATATGGAAACTAGTTCTCTATCCTATTTTATTAACATTGATGTTATATTTGGGACCCATTATACAGTGGGTGGACTTATTTGATTGGAGATATTATCGATACAATTGGAAATATCATTTCTTATGTCGAAATAGAAATGAACAACTTATATTCACTCGAAATTACCTTGTAGCACCATTTACTGAAGGTAAAAAGAGAATTTTTATACACACAGAAATATCGCTTTTTCTTTCTCTTCGATAGAGTTTGTCTTTCGTTCATCTATCTTATGTCTGCTCTACTCGCATGTGTCGTTATCATCGGCGATCTTTCTTTCTCCATTATTCTTTGGTCTTGCTCATCTTCATCATATGCTCGAACATTTCAAGCAAAACCATCATGAACAACATCATCGTTTATCAGCAATGACAATCATTCTTGTTCATCTATTTCAATTTTCTTATACTTATATATTTGGTGTTTACTCATCGTTTCTATTCATTCGAACAGGTCATTTCATACCATCGTTCATTATTCACACATTGTGCAATGGACTTGGCATACCTGATGTGATGAACTTAGTTGATATACAAAATGGACAAGGTTTAAGAAAGTTTTTTCATATGATATGTTATCTCATTGGTCTATGGTTATTTTCAACGAATTTATATTTTCTTACTCAGTCAAATTTTTATTACTCTGCCGATAATAATCTTGTTACCTATCGGCATTGGTCTAGTTAATCCAACTGTGATGTTTTGTTGTGCTCAATATAGGAAAAGGAAAAACAAAAAAAAAACACACGTCAAAAATTTAATGAATGTGAGAGAAATAAGATGTGTTTATTTCTTCGTTTTCGTTTTGATTTGTTAAACTCAATCTTTTTGTGCATGTCAGGTGCTCTGTTCTATACGTACACGGTCGTAATAAGTGAATCTATTACCGTAACCGAAGAAATGAGGCTTACTTCGTATAGAAAAATAAATAAATAATCAAATGAGATTTGCTAATTCAACATCAACTATAGAGAAAATATACATAAATAGTTTATCGATTGATTAGTGATTAACAATTCATATGAACAACTCTACGATGCATCAGACCGACTCTTCGTACCATCCTGTTTTTTTTTTCTACATCGGTATCTCTTATCGAAGAAATCATTCGTAGATCAAACATTGGTGTAGTTGAAACATCTACATCTTTATTAATATGACAGTTCATCGAAAATACAGTCGACCAATGGGGAGAAAAAAAAGAACATTGCCACGCTATTAAACAGTGGTAGTCATGGTGTTACGTTTTAGATCCATGTGTTGTTTTTGAGAAAGCTGATCAGAAGTGGACTCAGGACTACTCGGATAGCGTAATGGTTCAACACTGCGAAGGTGGCTAAAAAGTGTGCACGAAGAATTACTACGGTCGGATTGATTGGATAATACCAAAGACGTTGTGGATCTACTTCCAGTGGAAAAAGGTCGATCAGTCTGACAACTTTGACCGGGTGGTTGTAATTCGAGTACATTCATCTTTGAATTGCTTGCGACCGAGTCATGTTGCTCAGTACCTAGCAAGTTTTTCTGTGTATCATTGTAAAGTCGTACAAGTAAACTTGATTCATTTTCATGAGCCGAGCGGTTTCTAACGACACTTTCTTCGGTGGAAGATACAGTGTATATTTGATAGCTTTTACTCGGTCTTCGTATTGTGGGATCTGAATTGTTCTGTGACGATGCTTGTCCCATACTATCGGATCGAGACACTAGATGCCTGTATTGCCATTCATCGCTTTCTTCTTGTTCTGGTCGACGACGTTTTGCAGAAGGACTCCTAACAAAATACAAAATTTAGTCAACTAAGCAATGACATTGGCGTCTCTTCGAGACTGTTAGCGTATTTGTTTTGAGAAAATTTTTACTAACCATATCAATCGATACAAACAGCAGCCAGTGCATAATGCCAATGGTAAAGAGATAGACGCTATTCCAGCAATTAACCCCCAACTTACACGTTTGCCTATACAAATGAAACACGTTACTTATGCAACCATCACTTCTTTTATTACAAAGAGTAGCTTTTAGTGACGTAATTAGGACACTCATATTTCCTTAGCCAACATCTATCGTACTCACTGTCATCCGCTATTGTTGTTGCGACTGTTCTGAAAAGAGAAAGAAAAAAGAGTCAGCGTCCGATTGAACAACTGTAATGATATCAGAGGCGTCTTCGATCCCACGAAAATTTAGTATATGCAATCGTTTTAGTATGACTTACGTTGTTGTGGTCGTAGCAGAAGTTGATGTTGTACTTGATGTTGAACTTGTGGAACTTGTTGTTGAAGTGGTAGATGTTGTCGATGTTGTTGTAGCTGTTGTTGTTGTGGTTGTTGTTGTAGTGGAAGTAGTTGATGTAGTGGATGTTGATGTGGTAGTTGTTGTAACACAAACTAACAATGGTGAAGATATCACCGAAAATGTTACACAATATGTTTCTGATTGAAGCCGTTCTCTAATTTGCATAGAAATGTATGATCAATGCGTGAAAAAAACTATTTTTTGTAGGAGATCTTACACGGTGTAAGCAATAGCACATAACTGCTGTTCACCAATTTGATTTGGTTGTGGCGTCCATGTAAATTGTACGTAACTCACTGATGCATTATTTGATGAAGTGGTCAAATTATCTTTTGTTATACCGTCAATCTCTTTTGAAAATATAAGGTCAGCAATATCGATGGTGGACGGGTCACATTGATTAATTATAGTCAAATTAAAAGCTTTGGTAACACTAACTGCCACTTCCAAACAACCTGTGAGAGGTTGAATAATCGGTGGATATTGGCAAGTTGGCTCTGGCATGACGTATATAAGAAATTGCACTGGTATTGAACTCATCGCAATAGTACTGGATGTGTTGATGAAATCTTCAACCTAGAATAAGATAGATATCTGTAATCATATAAAATGTGAAATGAAAGGAGATCATGAAAAAGATTTAGGTGAAAAAGTTGCGCTTATTTACTTGAATAGCGGCTGCATACCAAGTACCAACTGACGAACTTTGGATCGATATGGTGCAATTAGACAGTGTAGTGCCAGCAGGAACGGTACTGCTATAGCATATATCACCACATTCATCAATGGATTGGCGTACGGGATAACTTGAAGTGGTTTTGAGTGTTCCTGGAGTATCAATAGTTGTTGACCCAGCATGACACCCACTTAGCGCTGAACATCCTATTCCACCACAAGTGGTACCATAACATCCTGAACAGGAACACAGACAAAGCCAGCTACACTGCTTCACACAGCTCGTGGGGCAAAGTAAACTTCTTCTTTTTCGTCGATTAACTGCGTTTTCCTTGTCAGAAATTAATGTCTTACGTGTAGTCATGGGAGTTTCATCATCAGATAAGTCCGGATAGACCTCTCTTCGTCTACGATATCCGGAAGTGTATTTTGCCCAACGACAACGTACATCATCACCTTGATTGGCATCCGATACGGGTATTTGAATATTACTCGTTCTGTTCACAATAATATATTGTGGAGATATAAGTTCAGCAACTGGTGGTGTATTTATAATACCGTCTGGTCGTCTGCGAAGGTCAATAAAAGTACTAATTGACCATTGCAAGTTTTTAGTCGCTGGGTTACCGATTTCTGTCCAAGCACTGCCACGATATGCTAGATAGAAATGTGCGTCAGCAGACAAAGTGATATTTTGGGCGCGTTCACTGGTGAGCATACCCATCGACGAGCTCACAGAAACGCAGTCTGTAAGAGTACTCATTATATTGCTCGAATAACCTCCGTCTGTTGAACAATCAGCTAAACAGGTTAGATTCGAACCTTGATTTGATCGACCAGCAGTTGAAATTGGCACATTTTGTGTGCATTTGATTGTCGGATATGCCCACCAATACGATTGATCAATAGTTATTATGACCGAACTCGAGTTTGTTTGTGGATCTACTGGTTTCCATGTTATTGTACCGCCATTGAAGTGACTCGGTTGAACCAAAGTTAAGTATAACAAGAAAATGAAATAGTATATCATCGTGCTATGATACTTAGTTTTTTTCTGCACTTTAGATCTGAAAGATACTGTGAAATGAAAAAAAAAGAAAACTCTCTGAGCCAGATGCTTATGTAGAGCGTGTCATTCGTTTCGAATGACACGAAAAGTTTGAAAAAGAAAGTTCACGTCGCATGAGAATTTGTATTCTTTCACCAAATTAGGATATAAAAGAATACATATGTGTGCATTAGAAAGAAAATAAGCAAATTTCTTTAGCAGAATATATTTTTGAATAACTGCATCTGTCTAGTAATTAAAACGAAGCCTCGATTTTATTTTACAATACTCAGATTTGGCTCAAAAGAACACTCCCTTTTGGGTTTGTTTACATCCCGATAATATATAGATTGGTATATTAATTTATTCAATTTCGCCGCATACTAACACGACGAAAACGTAGGAATATCAACTCTCTATTTATTTTGATTACCTACAACGTCAATTATCGCTGTGTCTAATGTTTTCTTCGAATAAGAACTTTCTTTTTGTGTACATCATACAGTGCTCAAAATCTATAACCGATCTTTAGAGAACGTGTCCACCTTCTTTTAAGATTTTCATCGATTAACGACTACCAATAGAAGGATGGTCAAATTCGTCAATAAGAAACATTCGTTTTTGACAACATTTTACATCAGTATTCAATGCCATTTTCAGGACTAGGCACGTTATAATAATTCACCTTGTTGGAATCATTGTTCTGACAGACAGATTTACTTAGATACCACAGTGAATAATATATTGAATGAACTTTATCAAAACTTCCAGACAAAGTATAATAATGAACAATTATCTGAATTCAACTATTTCGAACACAAATTTTCGTTGCTTTTGCGTTGAAAATTTGATGAATTGAAACGATGTTTCTTATCGGAATAATGATGCATCACCATAGAAACAAAACAATACATATTGTTCAACACAAACTCTACGTCCGAATGATTTACAATATATTGTCGTATATCTCACATACTACTTCCCTTTTCCGACTTCATTCCAGAATTACTGTCAGTTTTTTTTGAAATAAATCATACGACTAGAAGTATTTTCCCCGATTAATTCTCAATAAATATTAAATACTAGACAATGCTTTCAATTTCATACAATATTAAAAACGAGTTTTACTTCTGAGACTACGGTGACTTCCTCTAACTACGATTCACATTTGTTGAAGAAAAAGTAAAAAGGTTTGTTTCTTTTTGTCATATTGTTGTTAAAGCAACCTGTGTGCATATTTACATAAAACGCCTGCTTTTCAATTCGCATGACGTTTTTTTTTTATCTCGATGAAGAATTTAAACGCGAACATTCACCAATAAACATCTAGAAGAATATTCAAACTAACGTAAATTGACATTACACATTCTTTCTTCCTCTTACTCTTTCTTATTGTGAAGTTTATATATACACATCATCGGTCTCTAATTTGCTTGAAACCTCTTAGCAACTATCAACAATTTTCTTCTGCACTCTCTGCTAAAAATCAACATTCGCTCAAATATCGAAGACGGAGAGAACATAGAAGAAGAAGGAGAAGAAAGAAACCTTCTCGCGTTTGCGACAGTAAAAAAAAGCCGGACGAGATTAAGACACGTGTATGTAATGATGATCTTTTCTTCTCTTTCAGGTGTGTTAATCTAATCTGGTCGTGAATTGAAGATTTTTCAAAAGTCAAAATGGTAGAAGAAACTAATTGGAATAATCACACATATTCAACAAGTCTATTTTTAGCCACCCAAAAAGGACAAAGGGAAAGGTCCGAAGAAACCGGCCAAAACGGACAAACAGAAAAAGGCCGAAGCTGAAATGATGAAGAAAGTCATCGCTCAATATGTAAGTGAATATGTCTTCGTTTGTAAAGCGTGAAACGCTTGTGTTTTAAATAGAGTGGGGTTCTCTCCGTAGAGGATATCAAAGGTAAGCTTTTGCTTCAAACGATAATGTTCATCATTGAATTTTTCACTAGGAATGAAAGAAATCTTTGATGCAAATGATCAGAGTAATGCAGGTTTTATTAAAGCAAGCACACTGGGATTTATTCTTCGCACATTGGGCTTTAATCCACGTGAAAGTGACCTTCAACGAGTAGCAAAAGAATACGATCCAGAAAGTAAACGGACATAAGTAGTCATAGAAAAACAACATTCGGAGAATTATGTTTAGAAACGGATCAATTGAAATTTCCTGAATTTGTCGGTTCGGTGTTAGGTATTCAAACATCTATTACGGACAAAGAAATTATTCCTGCCTTTCAAGTTTTCGATCCAGAAAAACGTGGTGTGATAGAAGCGGATGAAATTATGAAATGTTTAACAAATGTTGGTGACATGCTCGATGAAGTTGAAGCGAAAGCTTTCAAAGATAATCTTAAAATTGATGATCTCGGTTTATTCAGTTATGAAGGTAAATCGATTCGATTTGATTTCAATTGATTGTCATAGATTGTTCTTGATCGTTTAGAATTTTTTAAGAAATTCACCGAACCAAAGAAGAAAAAAAAGAAAGGAAAGAAGAAAGGCAAAAAGAAGAAATAAACGTCGATATGAAAGTGTTTTGGAAAATAGTTCGTTTTAATATCTGTTGTGTAAAGTAAAACGAATATACGTATACATAAATTATTGAACACTAACTCCTAAATTTTGTCAACAATATCCTGAACACTTTACTTGAATTTAAAGCTTCGCCTTTATTAAATGTCGATATTGAACGCGTAAGGAATTATGTAATTGAAAATTTTAGATACAACCTAACGAATTTTAGGTATTCGGCTGTGGTAACTCTATAGCTGGGCATCACCATAATCTTGCCCTCAAGATGGCTCAGAAAAATGCTATCTTTATAGTGCAAAGCTATAACCTACGCTAAAATTTAAACCGTATCGGCTCCGTACTTCATAAGATATTGTTCATTTTGAAAGACACATTAAGAGCATTGAGCTTAACTAGTTGCTCATACCGAATGGTAGTGATTAATTGTCTTTCTCGCCTTGTTCATTGTTTTTCATTATCTTATGAGACTTCATTGGACAAATATCGGTAGAGACAATATACACATTGACTCAGAGAACTATACCTACATATTCTCACTAACAATGATATAGATAGAATCGGAAGAGAAAAACGCGAAAGCTGCTTTTCTATCAGAACTGTGCTCCTGCTAACCAAAGATCTCGTTCGACAATTCGTATTAAACGGCTAGTTCGGATTGTTTGTGGCGCCATCTATACACGTTTCCCAAAAACTCATCCGTTTATACTTCAAATGAAAGTTCTTCTTTGATAACAGTTTTTAAATAATAATATAGACTTCGATTGAACGAACATGGTAAAATGAAATTGACCAATAAAATCGCGAAAATTGATGAAACAGACATGAAGTGAAGTGAACGATCGAAGAGAAGTCGTTTGTCCGCAGTAACATATGATTATTACTTCTTCTTAAGATAAAATGAAATCATCAGTAGTTTTACTCAGACGTTTTAATCTCCTAACTCATCGCCGTTTTGCTTCATCTTACACAGTTCAAGAAATTCAAGCAGATCAATATGGTGCACCTCTCGATGTACTCAAACTTAATCAAACAACGACTTTTGATTCAAGTCAGTTGAAGCCAAATGATGTTTTAATCAAACTATTGGCATCACCTATCAATCCGGCTGATATCAATATGGTCGAAGGCAAATATGCAATACTTCCTTCATCATTGCCAGCAACATTTGGTAATGAAGGTGTTTTTCAAGTTGTTGATCATCGTGCTTCAAATGAACAATTGAGTCCGGGCGATTGGGTTATTCCGAAAATGCTCGAATGGGGTAAATGGCGTTCGCATGGAATTGTATCAATCAATGATTTAATCAAAATTCCATCGGATATAACAGTTGAAGCAGCAGCAACTTTATCAGTCAATCCTTGTACAGCCTATCGATTACTGAAAGATTTTGTCACGCTAGAAACAGGTGATACAGTTATACAAAATGGTGGAAACTCAAGTGTGGGACAGGCTGTTATACAGTTAGGTAAACTGTGGAATATCAATGTAATTAACATAATTAGAAATCGAGATCAAGGAATGAAGGAATTAGTAGAATACTTAAAATCCATTGGCGCCGAACACATTTATCTGGAAGAAGATCTACGGAAAGGTATGTGTTTTTTTTAGATTGAACTCGAATCATCAATACTAATTTGAATTGTTTAGAAACTCTTCGTACGACTCTTTGGTCAACTATCCCTCGACCTAAACTTGGCTTGAATTGTGTTGGTGGCAAAGCAACGAGCGATCTACTTCGTGTGCTCGATAAATCAGCAACTTTGGTTACCTATGGAGGAATGAGCAAACAACCAGTCACTGTTCCAACAGCTGAGTTTATCTTTCGAGATCTAACTTGTCGAGGCTTTTGGATGAGTCGATGGAAAGCCGAAAATTACAAAGGAAGTGAATTCGCTAAGATGCTTCATGAACTAATTGATTTCATTCGTCGCGGACATTTGAAACCACCACAGTGCGAGAAATATTCACTAGCTGATTATAAAACAGCTATTGAACAAGCACAAAAGCCATTTAACACTAAAAAAGTCCTTTTTACATCTTAGAGATTTCGTCTATTTACCACTCAGTAGTTGGTTTTTTTAGCATACAATCATTTATTTTGATTTTCAATAAAAAAAAGAGACATACACACACACATAAGAATCACTACGATTTAAGATAATCATATTTGCAAAGATTTATTTGGAATACATGGAAATCAACAAACATTAACAGGCATTCTATTATTGCAAAAACAGAAAACTCAAAGAAATTTCTGAAATTTCAAAAAAAAAACGAAGAAAACAATTTTTCAATTAGAAATTCTATTTAATTGACATAATGATGACGAATTAGCTCGTTTCAACGATTGGCGTTTGTTATAAAACCATACCTAGGAAAACGAAAACCTTTGAATACAACGATCGCATTTAGATAGTTATGACAAACTTGAACAATGTAACGAGGATAGGCCAATTTTTCCGAAAGGATTGAAATGTCTGATCGTGATGGCATCGGATTTTTTTCAAAAAATAGATTCAAGATTTCTAGATCATCATTCGAAAATTTTGTACGTTTTCGGCTGTGCCGCCCTTTAGCTTTATTGTTAAGAAATTTGCCGTTGGGACGAACTTTTTTCCAATGGGAATTATATTCGTTGGAAGTTATTGATACCGGTAATGCTGTCCATTGATAGTCAATATCACGGTTTGATTGATTTAAATATAACGCCGATTGTTCGTTATTGTGTAAGAAAAGATTTGGATCATCGAGTGGTGTGGACGAATACTCACCGGTTGAATCATAAAACGACGGACTACAGAGGCGATTGAGAAAGAAAAGAGGAGGCATAGAACTTACCTTGGACGAATGTTATATTCTGCGATGGGTTGGGTTGATACTATCTCGTCAAATTCGTCGATGGATAGCATCGATGTTGATTTATCAACATGACTTTGCAGAACCTATTGGTATCGTTTCGTTACAGCTCTAGTTCGAGATTTATTGCTTACCGGACAAGGTATGGAATATTCCGAGAGATTTTCTACGATATGAATGAAATTCTCGGATGTTAAATGATCGATTAAACCTTCTGATGATGATATAATATGATTCATTTGGGGTTGAACAGATTCATAATAATGAACTAGTAGACCGACAGAGAGAGAGAGGTAATTGAACTAAATTTCAAATTAATAGTTACACAATTCACTTGGACTTGGTGCAAGAATATATTTTCCTGATGATAGTGGTATCTAAAATAGTCCTTAATATGGATGTTGATGTTCTTGGCAGTAGGAAACTAACTTCTAATGGACTTCGTTGAATAGAAAATGTTTCGGGTAAACTGAGTATATGTGATGGTTCATCTAAAAGAGATAGTGAAGGAGTGAATGTTGTCACTTGAGTCGCTTTACCCGAAGATAATGCTGGGATTAAGAAATGAATACTTCGATCGACGGTCGGTTCTTGTTAGAAAAGAAAATCTCTTGTATAGGAAACAGACAATGAACAAGACAACAAGTTTTACTCTTACCCATTGACGCTGACAATGAAATTTGTGAAATTGAAAACAATGCTCTTATATTTTATAAATATTGAAAAACATGAAAATTCGAATTGATTGAAGAGTAAGAGCTGGTCGTTAATTGTCCTGTCAAACAAATAGAGAACTGTTCGTGTAAACTCCGTCGACGCGCCGTTTTATTTTATTTTCTTTCATTCTCTCTCTCGCCTAGTCTTCAGTTGGATTTTGTCAGATGGATTCTGATAAAGCACATGTGACAAAACAGAACGCAGACAGATGATGAGAAAACTCGAACATTATCCTACACGAAAAAATCATTATTTAACCGAATTATGTCGATAGAGATTTAGTCGTTTTCGAAAATCTTGTCTCAAGATTCGTTCAAACGGCGTTGCTGGTCCACACATACGATGCATCATATCCAACGAATTCGGAATAGAAGTTTCCAGTGCTACATCATTCCATGACGCTGTCTTCCATGGTTTGATTAAAAGAGATTTCAATTCAATGTGATGCTGTTGTCGTATACGATCATTTTTCGCTTTCAACAAATGTACAGTCGAACGACTACTGTATGCACTCTTAGCACGTGGTCGTCTTAACGAAAGTGGTAGCTCGTCGTTGGACAGTTCATCGTTACTACAAATAGAATTGACTTCGTATTTCATCGGTAATTCTTGATACTGTTGTTGATGACAGTGACGACCAGAATGTGCACTAGTGTTATGTCGTTTGGGTGTGGGACTAGATGCGGGAGTTGAAGGACGTAGATCGTTTGTAGCTAAGAGTACATTCTGACGAGTGATAGCAGATTGACGAAGTTGAGCGGCTAACGATGGCTGAGATTTTAGACCGAAATTCATTGAAGGAAACCTTTGAATTGGATGTGATGAAAATGAAAAAGTCTAGAAGACATACAGAAATTTGTATTAATGTGAAACTTGTTTCTTAGAAATATGTACCTTGCTAGACGATAAAGGACGACTGGCACTAGTATTTTGTTGTTGTTGGCGAACAAATGATGGTTCAGTTTGTGTTTGTTTTAATCGTATTTCTGGCGGATTCAATAGACTTGGCGTATTTTGACGATCATCTGGTAGTTTTTCACTTTGAGAATCTTTTACTCCCCGAGCAGCTTGCTTAGCTTTCGCAAGTAATGCAGATCCTCTTCGAATATCGTGAAGTTCATTCAGTAAAATTTCATCATCTAATTTCAAAGTATTCAAATCAACTTGATCGATCGTGTTCAGTTTCCCAGATGTCGGTCTAAAAGTTCGCTGTGCACCGTTCGCGGACATATCTGCCCAGTCGACCGATGTCGCTGAATAAGTATCGATGCGATGCCATTGCTCTTCGACAAATGGGCTTAATTGTACAGTTGATATTGGGTCATAATATTCATTGTGATAACTCATTACCAGATATTCATTTGAAAGAAAAACTAATCAAACATCATCGGTCGGCAACGACGTTGCTAATGCTACACTGGCATGCAAACTTCATTTTCTCTTTCTCTTTCTCACTCTCTCTCGAAGCTAAACCACTTCAGTAGAAAAAATTTTCTTTCACACTGTTGTCGACTTTTTCTCTTTCGCGCTTATAAGATTTGATTTTTTCAAAGAATCCTTAATACAAATCAATCAGCAAGAGAACAAAAAGAAAACTAATTTTGCCGACTATATATTGATCGTTAAGTACCACTACGTTTTCACTAAATAATTACTTCCAAAAAGTCGTCATGTATCTTGATAGACACTACAAAAATGAATCAAAACAAATAACATTTATATCAATAGAGAGGCTTTCGACGAAGGGTTAACAATCCATTGTTTTCTCTGATTACAAACTGTGGAATGAGGACCGATCATTTTGACATCTGTTAACAAACCTTGTTTCTGTCTTCATCATATTTCAATCGTGATTCATGTACAAAGAAAAAAAGCACAATAAATGTCAAGCATAAAACTACAAAAAAACATCGAACATGTTACACACGACTGACAAACGAAAATTTTGAGATGAGAATAAAAACAATGAACAGTGATGATAACATTAGAAAATTGTGAAATGAGGATCTATGATCAAATGAGTTTTAATCGAATGTTCACTGCGTGAAGATCAAATTATCGTTTTTTATTGTCCTCCGGTTGTATTTGATGAGCTGACGTACTGCGACTACCTATTTTAAGAAGAAATGGCGCTGACTGATACTGCTGTACAGCTGTTCGTGGTGTTGGTAACTGTGCAGGAAAATCATCTTCATTCGTCGTCGATTCTTTTCGTCGCGATATGCTGGTTGCTGATGCATCCAAAGCACTATTGGTAGATGTTGCCATCGATTTACGTAACTCTCTTGCTTTATGTTTGTAAAAGAACAAGTCTCTTTCAAGCTCTTTGATTTGATTCGATGAATCATGCAGTTGACTGAGTAGTAGTTGTTTTTCTTCTTCGTGAGCTTGTTGAGTAGATGTTAGGCGACGATCATGATCCAATGTCGTGGATTGTAGACGTGATTGCAGTTCAGCTATGGTTTCATTCTGTTCCTGAAGTCGAGACTAGAAAAAGAAGGCCAACATGAATTTCAATTCATCATGATTCAACTTAGTCATACTTTGATTTCTTCAAATTCCTGTTGAGTTTTGTTGTCTCCTGCTTTCAAATCGATGACTTTCTCGAATAATTTACGGCAAAGTTCTTTCGATTCATTTTCACTCAATTGACCGATTTTGAAAAGTGGCGACTCAGGCCCTTGACTTGCACGTATCGATTGTTGCACATCACGTTCGCGTTTATTGATCATGTTGTTCTGATAATCGATAGCCAAGTCGATTGCTTCGATTGCTTCGTCGATTTCAATTAAACGTCTCTCTTCGTTGGCTGTCAAGACAGCATCTTGTTGTTCTAAACGTTCTGTCAATAGGCGTCTTTGTTTGAGTAATTGTTCACGATTGATTTGGTGATTCGGTTGTTGTTTATCAACCGCTTTCAATTTTTCATTGACTAATTTTAAACTCTGAAATCAGAAACATTTCAAACGATGAATCTCTCATCGAAATATCTTAGTAAAAACCTTATTCAACACTTGACTTGTGCGCAGTTTCTTTGCTTCTAGTTCAGTACGTTCGTTGAGTAATAATTCTCTTTTCTCAACTAGTTCTTCACGTTTTTTAACATCATCTCTTAAGATTTCAATTTCTTTTCTTTCAGTAACCAATTTTTCCATTTCGACTTCGAACGTGTTCGTTGCACCATCATTGGCATTCGCATTCGGTGCTCCACGTAGCTTTCTTTGCGCCGCGACGAGACCTTCAGTCTTAAGCTTCAGAATTTTTTGTTGTTGTTCATTTTGTATTGATAATTCCTGTATACGCTGTTGTTCACGCACGAGATCTTGTTCAAATTTGTTCTTCAATTCAGATTCTTCACGTATACGCTTTTGAGCAGTTTCATACTGTTGTTTCAAGCGAAAGAGTGCAGATTCAAGGTCACCAATTCTGAACAAATAGATAGATGTGGTAAGAAATGTCGAAAATGCTCTCAACATACCGTTTTTCGCTATTGCCTGATAGCTTTGACATAAGATCACGATATTGTTTCTCTTTTTGTTGCAAAGATTCAAGTCGAGCTTTGGCCATATCACACTTTTTTCGATATTCACTAAGAGAAAAATAAATCTTGATTCAAGTGATATGATTACACTCTCATCTTACGCTTCAAATTTTGATTTTTCGTTTGTATTTTTCGTCGCTATCTGTTGCATTGTTTTCTGTAAGTCGTGATATTCATGTTTGGCTTTTTCTACTTCCTAAATAATACCAAAAGTCCCAAATTATTTCTCATTCGATTTTATATCGACAAGATGTACTTTTTCTAGTAACTTAATGTGTTGTTCGTACTGATCGTTTGTTTCTTTCGCTTCTTTCGTTGATGCGTAGACACTTTTGATCAACTGTTCTTTTAGTCTAAACAAAACATTTTGTATCAGGTCGATCGTCATAGAAATTCATTCAACTTACTGAATGTTAACGCTTAGTTCATGTGCTTTGTTTTCAGCTTCTTTTACATTTCGTGCTGCTTCTTCGATTAGTTTTTGTTTATTAGTAGTCGATTGTGTTAAACTTTGTAATGCGTCATCTTGCTGTAAAATACTCGGTGTCAGACGGTTCTTACGAAGACGATATGTACCACGACGAACAAATTTTCTAGAAGAAATCGAACTTGACTAAGTTATACCTCAGGTGCCGACTTACTTCTCGTCATTTAATTTCTCATCACTATTTCTCAGATCTAATTCTTCAATTTCTTCTTGCGAATGAGCTAACGCTAGTGAGCGACCGTGAAATCTTTCCACGACATATTCCATATCGAAGGCAGCTGGACTAGAATGTATAGTACGCGGTTGAATCGATTGTTCCTACAGAATAAAATCAACAATAGCAAAATGTTGACTAATCATTATTCTTATTTACTCTTCTTTGAAGACCATTAAAATGTGGTGCTGATTTAGTTCGATCTGGGATTGACTTCGTTGTTGTATGATGACGGTGATGATCTGATTGATCCAAAACTGTACGCATTTGATTTAATTCATCTTCCTGAAAAACAAACGAAAAAAATATTCATCACGATGCGAGTGCTTGCAATTACTTTTAGTTTCAATTGTTCTTGTAATCGATCAACTGTCACATCACGTTTGGCACGCATCTGAGATTCAGATCTCAATTCATCTTTAGCCTAAAACATTCAGGTAAAGATCAATAATCTACTAATGTTCTATCGTTCTTTACCATATGTAAAGCACTTTCTAAATTCATCACACGAGATGTAAGTATACCGCTATACAGCTCCTCGGAGTTCTCCTACAAAATCAGATTGTTTTAGATAATTTAGAAGTATGACGGGAAAAGCGCACATTTGTAACTGCATCCATCCATGTTTGTATCCATTGCTTTTGTTCACTACTTAGATCTTCACATTCGTTTAGCTGTTGAAAACAGACAAATGCTGTTTGAATTAATCGGCGCGAATGATCAATACTACACGATGATTTTCGACTATGCGATGATTGTCCATCATGTGAAATCACCGTTCGTTGTCGAGCGAGTTCTTCTCGAAGATACTAGAACGATATTTAGCATAGAATTGTATTAACAATTTCAATGAAGAGAAATAATTTACAGTTATTTCACTTTGCATTTCGATAAAACGTTGAGCATTTGGATCGACATTTTTAATAGGTTTATTACGAATTTGACTGGCCTAGAACGAGTTCTCAATGTTGATGGGTTTTGTTCAAGAAATAGATGGATGGAATACATACCCTGTGAGCATATTTAAGAGCATTGAGAGATTCATCAAGGTCAGCAGTACAAGGACTAACACCTAATGAAACAAAAAAGGCCAAGTATGAGATCAATAGAGAAAAGAAGAATTATTACATGTGATCATCAATGTTTTCGCATTACCACCGAGTGAATCTTTGAGTAGACGTGTTATTTTAGCATCACGATAAGGTATGTGACCACCGGTTCGTTTCTTCGGATCAGATAGTGCACTGACGACATTTCCAAGTGCTAATAGACCAGAATTAATACGTATGGATTCTTGAAAACGTTCGCCCGTGTTTTGTGTGCGTGCAACACGCTCTGAGCCAGCCAAATCAACGAAATGAAGCTTTGCAGAGAGATAACTTTCTATGAAAGCAGAGAAATCATCCAGTCAATCTTAAATATATACCATTCGTGATCATTTACCATTAAACGTTGATTGCAATGGTTTGAGAAGGCCGTCAAACGAAGCTTGAACAGCGTTAGCATTCGAATTCTTATCATGATGACGTTGTTCTAAAAGTCACTCGTTTTTATTTACTTCCCACACTAGCTTTCATACCGATATAGAGAGTGAAAATCGCATGTGATCGCGATGATTCATCGTTCATTTGCGTTGCACCTGTGTGTCTAACATTAGAACCTTTTTTCAACAAACAGACAACATCATCCACCGATCGACATCGATGTTCACTTGCACCAATCACAACTGAAATCAGATTTTCCTACAGATGAAAAGTAATGTACGAACTGGATGTTATTACCTGTGTTACCAGCGGCATCATCTCGAACATCAAGGTCTTTATCATTAACATCGAGTAGATCAATAATATCATCTTTATATAGTTCTAAATACGATGCAGATATGGTGATCTGACGATCTTTGCGATTCTAGTATACGAAAGATTTCATATTGTGTATTTCTCTTCAAATAATGTACATACTTGGATGGCATCAAATATAGTTTTAACTGCTCGTGGGACAATACCGTAGTCTTTTTCACCGATCGACAAGATATTTCCACCTGTCATCGTATACGTCTTTCCTGAACCCTAGTTGATATTCAAATCATTGGCCAAATCGTCAAGCAATTCACGACTTACCGTTTGTCCATAAGCGAATATCGTTACATTGTATCCATCGAAAACATTCTGTAGCATAGGTTCCACACTTGTTCGATACAATTCTTCCTAGAAATGAAAGATTTGAAAAGAATAATCTTAACTTTCGATTTATACTTGTTGAGTTTTTGGTCCAAAGACGAAATCATATTTAAATGTTCTTCGTTCACCAAGGATAATCTGATTGGTTTGTGGATGAATGGTCACGCAACTCTTTTGGTCATGATTTTTTTCTCGTTGTAGAAATGGTCGAACCTAAATGAACAGTTGAGTGTTTTTTGTTGAAATAAACAATCGAATCTAAACAGAACTTACACGAACAGCTACTTTAACACGAAATTCCGATTCGTTAGCGAGCATTTTCATTCATCTACAAGTTTATTAGAAAAAAATTGAAGAAAACAAAAATACGTTGAAGTAGTTCTTGTTCTTTCTTTATATATGTTTTGATAGTAAAAAAAACGAAATCAATCGAATTTCTAGTTTCATTGTCCACCTTCATATTTTTGTAACTTTTCTTTTAACGTTTCATTTTCGCGGAGCAATTCCTCGTATTTCTCACGTGTAACCATCAATTCGTTCTTGATTGTTTCCATTTCGGCTGTATCAGGTCCAGTAGCACCCATAAAACGACGAACGAATTCCGCTGCATTGTTCGGTTTCTCCGCTTCCTCATACAATGCAACCAATGCTCCTAAATGTGCCGAAAGATAAATTATTCAAAGTAGTTTTCTCGAACGGAAAAACAAACTTGTAATCGCATCGACAACGCCACCCTTTTCGAGATAACGACGAAACTCTTCTCGTTTCGATTCATTCGGACGGTACGTCGATGTCATTGTTCACTAGTAACTTCGTTCGAATAAACACCTAGGCGAATGAAAAAGAAAAGCTCCATCCGATTGACAAGCATAGCGTTGCTAAGTTGCCTAGCAACTACATCTATATGACTCATTTGGTAAAATTATCACACTAATGCACTTGGCATATGTGAGACATTTCGTATTGAAAATGGTTCGATATTGAATTCAAATTGATTATTAAATCAAATCGTAAGATAGAATTTGGATTTTAAGAAAAGGTTTACAGAAATTTCATCCATAGTTTACCAGTACTAACCAATCATGAATTGCATTTTGAATATTAGGCGAGAAACGGCATCCATGTATGATTTTGAATTGAATTCTAATATATTTTGTTCTAGATCGATATTTATTTCCATCTCGATACTATTCGATCATGCGTCCCATCAAAGCTCGTGAACAACTCGCTATCCCAGACGACGGTAATGAGTGATTTTCACTACCGTCGAACCTAATTTTTGTGTTTTTTTTTTCATTCTCGAATCTTAGTTAAAGTGTCTGTAAAAAGCCGTGTTGTTCAAGTCAGCGGCAAACGTGGTAAACTCGTCCGAAGTTTTCGTCATGCCCGTGTTGATATCTCTATGCCAAAGAAGAATTTGATCGTTGTCGAAAAATGGTTCGGTACCAACAAGGAAAATGCCGTTGTCCGTACCATTTGTTCGCATATTAACAATATGATTAAAGGTGTTACCAAGGTGAGTAGTTTCAGATGAAACCATCGAACATGCTGCTGAACCATCTACTTTTAGGGATATTGTTATAAAATGCGTTCAGTATATGCTCACTTTCCCATCAACACTGTCGTTACAGAAAACGGTCAAGCAGTTGAAATTCGTAACTTTTTAGGTGAAAAGTTCGTTCGTCGTGTTAAAATGCAACCTGGTGTTAAAATCACAGCCAGTACTAAACAAAAAGATGAACTTATCTTAGAAGGCAACGACATTGAACTCGTTTCACGATCAGGTAAGAATCGCAAGTCGTGTTCGCTCGCTCGTAAACATCTCGAATTCTTCTAGCTGCACTTATTCAAATGTCGACATCTGTTAAAAACAAAGATATCCGTAAATTTCTTGACGGTATTTACGTGAGCGAGAAGGTGAGCGCCGATGAAGCTTAAACAAAACGAAAATTCCAATCGTGCGTTTGTTTTTACTATTATTGTTTTTCTGTGTGTGTTTTGATACGCGCGTTAAACAATAAAAACCATCAAAAAGAAATAAATAACTGGAAAACCACAAAAGAATGACTTTTTTTTTCTATTTTTCTTTTCACTTCAGACAATATACATCATGTCCATAGTCTAAGAAAGAAATTTATGTAATGAATGGTACTTCACCTGATCTGATAAAAGATGCAATTGCTCATCAGCAATTAAACGAAAGACATCTTTCTTATAGAGAACTTTTCCATCAACTTGACAAAGATCATGATGGTCGAATCGATGTGGATCAACTGATAAAACTATTAGAAAAAGGTGGCATTGAAACATCAGCGAAGAAACGATGGGACATTGTTCGCGTAAGTTGATATCAGATAGAAATGCAGAAGATTTATTTCGATACTTTTACAGCGTATTATTGCTCAAGCTGGTGGATCGCCTGATGCTTCGTTTTTATCCTTTAAAGAATTTGCTAATTATATACTACAACAAGAAAACAAGCTTAGTCTAGCTTTTAGAAAATTGGATGCAAATCGTCATGGTAATGGTTCTAGCGAATGTTGATCGTATTTGTATTAAATGATATTTTTATTTTTAGGAAAATTCGATGCAAAAGACTTAGTTTATTATTTTCGCAAGTTTCGTATTAAACTCGATTTGGAAGAAGCAGAGAAATTAGTAGAAAAGTAAAAAGATTTTTTCAATGAGAGGCGCTTGGAAAATAAGAGTCTTTTCTTCAGAATGAAACAAGACAATTCTCTAGAAATCTCCTATGATGAATGGCGTTCTTTCTTCATGGTAAATCCAGCAATTCTTGAAAGTGTCACTGGTGATCCCAACGAAATGCTTCGATATTGGCGTCGAGCGACAGTAAGCAAGACATGGTGTTTATAAAATATGTCACCGGTAGATTTCATTTAATACTTCAGCATCTAAAACTAGGTGAAACATCCTATGTCTTATCGGAAGACGATGATATTCATACTAAACAATGGTGGGAGAATCTTGTCGCTGGTGGTTGTGCTGGTGCCGTATCTCGAACAGCAACTGCCCCTTTTGATCGATTGAAAATAATTATGCAGGTATATATAGATGCCTTGATATGCACACATGCTTCCAGCAGATCTTTCCTGAACTTTTTCTTTCCTCACCTGCTAATATTCTAAAGAATCGATGAATATCATTAGGTTTCTTAGTATTTGGGTTCGAGACAACGGATGTCTATCATCAATGGTTATCGATACTTGATTAGAGAAGGTGGCGTGAAAAGTTTATGGCATGGAAATGGTATGAATGTGACGAAAATCATACCTGAGACAGCGCTTCGATTCGCATTTTTCGACGAAGTAAGGACCTTTCATGGATACCGGTGTTGTTTTTCTGACAATCTGTTGATCTATTCAGACTAAAAAACTGGTGAAAATCATTCAAGGTAAAGATCTAAATACCGAAGCAACCGTGTTCGAACGATTCGTATCCGGCGCGATTGCGGGTTTCTTATCTCAAACTATTGTGTATCCTCTAGACGTAAATACGATCCGTTTGCCTCTACAAGATTGAACATATATCTTTTTCTCATTGTTTCTGGGAAATTTAGGTATTAAAAGTACGATTAGTGCTGAGAAGAAAAGGTGAAATTTCTACTTGGGCGGATGTTATTAGACAAATATACAGATGTGAAGGTTCTAAAGCTTTTTGGCGTGGCTACACACTTAATCAAATTGGTATAGTTCCATACGCAGGCTTTGATCTGGCATGTTACGAAGTAAGATTTTGAAAATACCATCAAAATAATCGATCATGTTGTATCGTTTGTGTTTCAACAGAGTTTAAAGCGTTTTTACATAAAGTCCCATGGAAATCGCGAACCTCCCGTGTACATCTATCTTACTTGTGGTGCTATCTCATCATTTGCCGGTCAAATACTCACCTATCCTGTCACATTACTACGCATACGTCGACAAGGACAAATCGTTCCATTGCCGCATATGGATCAAAGTAAAGCACATCCAGTTCTACCTATTCATGTGATGGTAAAAGAAATCTGGCACAAGGAAGGTTTAGTTGGCTTCTATCGTGGTCTTGTTCCTAATATGTTAAAAGTTGTTCCTGCTGTTTCGATTTCATATCTTGTTTATGAAACAATCATCAAAGCTCTTTCAACTGAAAAGCAGTAATTCTTCGTTCCCGTTACGCTAGAAGTTAATTTGTTTGTAAACCGAATAGTGTTCTCTTTGTTTGTCTGTTTCTTTCTTTCTTTCTTTTTTTTTGTGAAAAACATTTATTTATTTTTATAATAAGCTCACAAAGAAAACAAAATCAACCCGGATAAAACTAGTAATACGCATTCTTTGCAGATGATCTACCAAACGAGTTTCTTTCATATACTCAAAAGTCGTTGCAATCAAATAAATCTATCTTTCGTACGTTATAGTAAACCGTTTAAAAAGAAATGGGTAGGTTGAATAAAGATCATCGTCGAGTATGTTCAACAAGATTTTGTTTACTTAGATGTTTTCCTCACGTCATGGTTCGCATTCCAATGAACTTGCTTTGGAATATTTCGATTTCGCATATCCACTTATATTTCATCGGCATTGGCCATCGATACGACTTGCTCTACTTAGTTTACCGAAACCTGTCGCGTTGATTAATCCGTATTCGTTATCGAAGAAAGCCGTTCAGGAAAAACTAGTGCAAGAGGGCGCGGTTGATCTCTTGCGATTTGATAATAAACAAGTGCGTGAAGATTTCTCGCTCATCCAAGAACGAATTGCGAAGAGCGATGAAGAATATGGAATCAAAAAGTTATTAGAACAAAAAGAGAACCGAAGATTGCTTGGTACGAGTGACCTAACTAATGAACAAGAAGAAATCGACGACGATGATGATGACGATGACGATAAAGATACTGGAAACAACGATGATATCAATGCCTTCAATCAACCACAACCCGTGAAAACCCTTGATGATATTTACAAACAGGCACTTGAACAGCAGGTACACTTCAGAATAATCATGAAACTTGATTAAAAACAGATATAAGAGGATTGGATTCTCCAGAGAAATCTAGCTAATTAATTTCATCTTGTACTAGATAACCATTTGGTTTCTTTTGGTTAGGTACATTCAGTGGTTAAAGGCAATGCTGTACCTGTTGTCGATGATGATAAAGATCGAAATTACAAAAAAGTTCCTCCATCATGGCATGTTTATACATTTCCACGTAGTAATATGTCAAGATTTGAACCAGCCAAAACAGATGAACTTAATCTATTGGGTAAACTTCGCTTTTCATAAAGAAAGATGCTCTTCTTATTCTATTTATTATAATAGAGTCTGTTTAGTTTAGATTATTATTGTATGGATGGAGCTTGTGTGCTTCCAATACTTGCGCTTGATGTTCAGCCATTTCATTCAGTGTTAGATATGTGCTCAGCACCTGGTGGTAAAGCATTGAATATATTTCATTCTTGTCCTTACAGTAAAGAGACTCCCTAGATTTCCTTTCTATGATTATTTATATTTTGTTTTACTTCACCTAGTACAATTGACATGCAATGATACTGATAATCAACGATGGAAACGTTTAGTTGAAGTATTCACTCAAACAGTTCCAAAAGATACATTGGCCAAGTATGTGAGACTTGTTAAAGGTGACGGTTGCCTGTTTGGACAACAAGAACCAGCTAGTTTTGATCGAGTAATTTGTCAGTTTCTCTTTGTTGTTCAATATACATGATTTTGCTGAATCGTAGGTGCTTGTTGATGTTCCATGTACAAGTGATCGTCATGCTCTAAGCACTGCTTTTAATATATTTTCGAAAAAACGTGTTCAAGAACGAGTAAATCTACCCGATTATCAACGCAAACTACTCGAGTAAGTTTCGATACGAGGAAATGAAGACGGAAGTTTATCTAATCGCCATTATAGATCAGCAATTCGGGCGTGTAAACCAGGTGGCATCGTTGTTTATTCTACATGTACATTAGCTCCTGCTCAAAATGAAGGTGTTGTCGAACGAGCTATTGAAAATTTGGCATCTTCTTCAACATCAAATCGAAAGCATCGTGAACAAAAGAATGACAATGCGATCAAGTGCGAGATTGTTTCAACGCAACCGTTAGAGAAACACTATGCTTATTTCTTTCAATTTCATGCGAAAACACGTTATGGTAGTCTTGTTTTACCGCATATTTCCAACAACTTCGGTCCGTTATATTTTTGTAAAATTCGAAGAATTAGCTGAAATAAACAAGAATTCTTTGCAAAAATCTCATATCAATTCAATAAAAAGATTGATCGACGAATCTTGAATAATGTGAAATACTCAGGATACTCAATAGAAATACATTGCTGAAGATAGAAGTCTTTTCTCTGTTTCTCTAGGGAGATTCAATCAATTGCCATCGTTTAAATTACTCACTTCCTCCCATACGAAAGCACTCGTTTCTTTTCTGATTAAGATAACAAAATGACATTATCCTCTCATTAAGAGGCCTCATCTGAGCCACACGAAAAATACCCATCATAATTCTTAGTTGAAATGAGTCAGTGGAAACCCCTTGCAGGCGATTGTATACTGAGAAAAGAGACCTGGATAGAACATGCATCTCAAAATGCAAGATTATTTCAAGATGTTTTGATAGTTATGTTGATCTTAGCCTCTACGTATAAAAAAGCGCATTGCACTGATAATATGATCGGAGAAATACTTAGTAAGCAATCGGATATATAGATTCATTCTTAATGGCATCAGAATAGTATTTGTTTGTATAGGATCGTAATCATACAATGTCTACATGGTCGTTCTCAATCACATATCTATATACAATCGAATATTAACCTTCTGTTCAATATGATTTATGCTAACACAAAGGCAATGGGAATGAGATGAAGTGATGCAAAAAAACAACGTTAACACTTGACTGTATAGATCAATGTCGAATTATTGATGACATTTGATCAGTTTTGAACTTTTCATTAACAGACATCACCTGTCGTAACATTCGAACATTGGATAGACAGCGAATAATCAATAATACCATCTCGTCGACTCACCTATCCAATCTTCACTATAACCTCGCGATTAATATTCGGTTCTATGAATCTACTCTATAATTATACTTGTGTATATTCGATTATGTCTTGAAATAATTCAATTATCTTGACACTAATCCGTGATCAACAAAAAGATGCAATCTTTCTTACTCTAAATTTGTATATCGATTCTTTGCGTATAAAATCACATATTTAATCTTTGTAACATTTAACAGCGATGCTTAAGATCGAGAATGGCAAGGATTAAATCTTTACTAATATATGTAAATACTCGTTTGAGATCATCTGAAATGACTTTTCTATAGTAACGTAGAGTACATAAAAGGAGAAAAAACGAAAATATGTTAATGATCTATTGATCTGATTATCTATTTAACATTTTTTTTCTTCTACATCTATTTATAACTATGTACTCTCGTCGTTTCTTTCTCAAACATTTTGACAACAATGATGATTGATTGAAGGTCACATACTAGTCGGCACTTGACGCCATTTTTTTTATGATTTTATATTATTCTGCACGATATCGACCGATAAGAAAACATCATGTTAGACATTCTTTATCTTGCTAGTTATTCAACTGATCAAATATCATCAAAAATGCGTCAGTGTCAATTGACCTTTAGGTATAAAAGCGACATGATGTAGTACAAAGAAATAGGAAACCGAGAATTTGCCAATTTTCTATATTAGTTGTTCTTATTGGGGATATTCACAGTATAATACATCTCAATATCATTGTCAAGGATATATTTATGTAAGAAGAAGGAGCCAAGGATATATTCTTCTCACCAATGTCACGACATGTGATATTACATGAACGGTTAATGAACACCGATTTGATACATATGAGATATTTCTTTTCTTTTTGTTTTTTTCAGTCGATACAAACTTTAGTCGAAGTCTTTTGGATATATCATTTTTCTTGACATTGCAATGTGAGACAAGGTTATTGTATCAAAACGAAAATTAATTATTATTTAAATCGATGTCTATCAGAACTTTTTTTTTTCTTTGTTTTGTGTTTCGATGTTTTAAGTAGAAGATATTTGAGAACGTTTCAACGTGTGTATGCGATGTTGACCTTCCCCGAAACAAAATGCGGCTTTTTTTTCCTGAAGTATGTTTTGTGTTTATGAAGTAGGAATAACAAAAAAAGAAAATTTTCTTTTCAAAGACTTTTTTTTTCGTCAACATTCTCTTCTCCGTGACACGATCGTATCGAACGACTAGGCATAACGAGTATGATTTCATCGTCATCGTTGTCAGATTGATTTGTTTAGAAATAGATTATGATGGAACGCCTAAATCTTGTTTCTGTGTTTATTTAACAAACTCTATTCTTCATCTTTCGTCGTCTTTGTATTGTGTTGATTGAATTGTTCGTTCGCCACATGTACACATACACACACACATATGCGTGCGCACGCGCACACACACTCTCTATCCCTCCCGTTCCCTGAGAAATTAGATATTGCGTCATCTTCTATGAACGATATGAGATCAAGTGAAGGTCAATCTTATAAAACGAAACTTGGATTGTAATCAACGATTAACATAAACGTGTTCGAAGAACAACAAACTAGACGAACTCCTGTCATGTCTTCATGACAAACACCTAATCGATAACCTATTGTGATCCATCACTTTCTCATTATATTGTTCTGCCTTCTGTATGCGTATACTTGCTTTCTCTGTACAAAAGAACGAGAAAATGAAGAGAGTGATGGCAGAACAGAATAGATGGTGGCAACAGCGCTATGGACTTTTTTCTTCTTCTTCTTCTCTTTCTCCTCTCCCTACAGTCGAGACACCGATTTCATCTTACATATATGTGTAGAGAAAGTAACTGTTCGAATACTTGATAAGACACTAACAATCGGTGAGTAAGTCTTTTTGTCGATCTTGACTCGTTCTTCTGTTTTTTCAAATTGAACAGAAGTGACAATGCTAATGAGAATTAGTGCGTCGGAGAGTAAGGAACAAGAGGAAATAGCCTTGTCGTTTTACACGTAATGAAATTTACATAACCATCTTCATTTTCCATTCTGATCGGTACCGATCAAACACTACACTATGCTAAATATAGTTTCACTCTTTTTTTTTCTTTTTCTCCTTTTCTTCTTGTGTATGTCATAAAATGAGCAAAGAACTAACTTGTCCGATCATTTATCATAATAAAATACTTTCGATCAAGTAAGATATTAAATAAACATTTCGACATATTTATAATATTTAAGAGAAAGAAGATGTCAAACTTCTAATTTCATGTTTACATATTTAGCATAAATAATACTGATGATCTATTTCTAAATCGACATACATCTGTATAGTCTAGCCGAGATGAATCGAAACATCGATAAGCATTATTACATCTTTGTCACATCTAATTTGTTATAGGACATACGAAACATTTATGACAACAGAAGGATACAATCAGAGGTATCGTAATTGAATTGAATAGTCTCATTTTGAATATCTTATCTTTGATACATCTGTTCTCACTAAAGACGTATCGATCGAAGTAAATAACGATTTTTCTCTCATGTTTTAGAAAATGCAGCTAGCGATTGCGCTCTACAATAATGATGTCGATGACGAAGATGAATTAGAATTTCGTAAAGGTGATATTTTAACTGTATTGATTGAAAATCCGAATGGTCTCAACGGTTGGTGGTTATGTCAGCATAAGGGAAAATGTGGTTTATGTCCAGGAAATCGATTAAAACTTATTTCAACAAGTACATCAACTTCATCGACAAATGAATCAAATGAACCACAACGTTCCTCTCCTTGTCTATCAACAGCTTCAGTAAGCTTCAATTATACAATCAATTCGGAAGATAATAAACGTATTTCTATTCAATTAGATGTACGATAGTTTGTCCAATGATTATGATATTCCTGTCACAGCACCAATCTTACTATCCACAGTAACCGACGATCATGACTACGATATTCCGCAAGGATCATCAGGTGAGAGAGAAGAAACGAATTAATTTGCAAGTCAGATGAGTCAGCTGCCGCCTCATATCTTTTGAATTAAGATTTTCACAGTTAGCTGATAAACATCTGTCGGATGTAGACAATCTTATTATTTATTGTTTAGATTTCTATTCGAATTCAAGTACTCCAACGCCAATTGATTCATCTCCTGAATCATCATCACGCTCGTCCGGAATCTATTCCACTAATGACCTTCGTCTATCCGATCTCTCAACATCATCATCATCGTCATCATCTGAATTTCACACATTAATTCTGAACGGTAACACTCATAGTCAATTATTATCATCGAGTAAGTTTGACTTTCGACGGTCACGACCTTCACACATTAGTATAGACCATGCTGATCATTATCAGGAAGGCGCGCGCGCGCGTGCGTTTATGTGGTGATTAAAATAAACATCACACAGCATGCATACACATATATTTATATATTTACGAATCAAAGTACTAAACTACACATCTGTATTTATGTCTAGGTAGTCGAAAGAAACAGACGAGTTTCCTTGTAGTTGTTAATGAAGAAAAAAAAAGCAATTTGGTTGTATTGAGTATAGCTATGAATTACATAAAAAAAAAACGAAAGAAATTAATGATGTAAGATAGAGGCACATATAAGACACGTCCAGTTCATATTTTTCTCGTTAGTCACGTTTCATTGATTGTCAAGTTGTTATCTTGTGCGAAGAGAAATTTTGCTTTTTTCTTTTTTTAGCTGATATCGATCAATTACAAGTATCGTTTCGAAAATTATCGATACGTTCGTTACTTCTTGAAAAATATCGTCAACTGCTGTTAAATTCGAATATCGAGTCAATCAATCGTCTATTTATTAATGAATGTCGAATATTTCTTCATGACTACGGTTGTTTATTAGATCGACATACTTATAAAATTTTCAAACAAAATTTACTCTTTGAATTGGAACATGTGACGAATAATAATCAACGAATTGTTCAATTAGCAACGCAAATCTTGCAGTTAATCAAGCCGATTCTCGAAATGCGTGTCAAACAGAAAAGTTCCAGTGTCCCATCAATACCCATTGATGTGTTCAAAAAGTTAAATCTCGAACCAATCGAAGAAATCATCAACGAAAATGAAAATAAGAAACTACCAACATCAATGTCTACAACACAAATCTATGGATCTTTTCAAAACCGTAAATCAAGTAAGACACAACAATACAAACGACTTTTTGAAATAATCGTTAAAAGTCACTTTGCCATTATGGTGTTGACTAGAGAAAAACGATTCTCTTTTCTTGTTTTAGAAGTTCATTCTCGTACGTCACAATTACCAACATCTCGAACGTGTCATTCAAACTTTCTCTCAGAATTGAGTAACAAAGATAATCAGTCCGATGATTATGATTATATCGACGATGATTATTCGACTGTTTCTTCAACATCTGCGGCAGATCCGTTAGTCAAATGTTACTATCGACATATTCGCGAGCACATCGCATCCATATCGATGCGTTATACGCGTTTGTCTCAATTAAATCAACGTCCGAATGATGCAAATACAATGACAACATTAATAACGGACAGTAAAGCATTGATTATTGCTGGACATAAGCTTGTTTTTGTCTTGGAAACTTTGCATGAACATCTTCGGCATTCGACTAAACTTCAGCAAACACAAACACCATTAATCTCCCTAACGAAACAATTATGTGACGGTTTAACATCGTTTGTTCGATTATTAAAACAATTTACAAATCAAAACTGTACAAATATGCAACAATTTCAACATGACACTCAATTAATAATGAATTCAGTCAAGAAAATTCAACAACAATGTAGTTCAATTTAATATCTATTTTGTTTTCTCACCAGACTGCTTGTTTGTTTGTTCTCTCCTATTCTTTTTTGCTTTTGATAACTAGTCAGGTACTGCAAAAAAGAATATACATATGAATACGACTTATTTAATAGAATGAGATATGTTTTATCTTATTAATAATTACAAATTCTTTTTCATCATGACTAGGTCACTTCTTTTCTCTTAAAAAGATGAGAACAGTTCAAGCAGGATATTTCAAAGTATGTGCACATCCGACAAATAGATAAAGAACAATAACAACAAGAGGACAGTTATACGCGATCGACGATGAGTACACGCAAGGTTTTCTTTCACAGTTACAATGCCATCGTTACCAACGATTAATCTAATCCAATCGATGTAGACACTAATTCGGGTGTAAACACCTATGTAATCACGTAGACCACAACGATAGCCATATGATATAATACCTGTCAGTATCCAACGACGTTTAGCCGTCGAAAAGTGCATAATTGGACCACCCGAATTTCCTTCGCATGTATCTAAAAAAAAACGGTACATTGTACACTTCTTTTACTCAGTTAGGATCTGTCAATTTTCCTTACCTTTCCCTCTTCCTTGTATAGCAGCACAAAATTGTAAACGAAAGTTTTTTATTATGTGACTACATTTCGTCTCAGTACTATCGATAGCTTCCAGCAGTACTTGTCGTAGATACATGGGTGATATTAAATCTTCCCATGCTGTTATACCCCAACCGATAGCGATTAGAGATGAATGTATCAACGGATAATGTACTTGATCGGGTTCGATCACATCAGGCAGACAAATTTTTGCAATGTTCACATCGTGCGTTGGAATCGATCCATTTAGTTTAAGTAGAGCAATGTCATTTTCTTGACTGGTAAAATTCCATTTTGGATGAATGAAAACATGAGATATTAAACGTATATGACCAGCCGTACTATCTAATGTATCAATGCCCATAAACACCGAATAAGGAAAATATTCTTCTGAAATTCGTATAAAACAATGTGCTGCTGTTAAAATAAATGATTTGGATATAATGGTACCACCACAGATGTGCATGCCGGAAGAGTCACGTACGGAAATCGCCCAGCCCCAACTACGATAGGCGACGGACTCGCCACGAATCACATCTAAATTGATGTCAACATTGTTACGTGAACAGCCGCATGGATCCGTTGATTTGCAATAGAAAATTGTCGCTTGGACTAAGAATAAACTGGAGTAGTTACATATAAGAAAGAATAATGATCGAACTAGGTCAGTCATGAAATTTTGTCCGTTCTTTCGTATTGAATATGCCTACAATAAAGATATCAACTACTCGAATATATGTATTTGATGATAAAAGAAATACTTGCCCAGATAGGATCAATATCACATTTACTCGTTTTTTCTCTTGTTGCTCATACTCTTCAAATGCATAATGTCGAATTTTTTTCTCATCGTTTATTCTTATTCAACATTTCATTCTATTAGCATCTGTCTAAACAAAATCGAAAACTGCAGTTTCATTTTTTTCGTTCTCTTTTCTTCAGTCAATAAGCACTCAATAACAGCAAATAAGAGTAATTCTTTTAGCAGACCATATCAATATTCATTGTTTAATGCAACATAATACGTATACTCATTGTCTTCGATAGTTTGATGAAAAAAGACACTTATTGGGCAAATATTTAGTTTGTTCAATGTTATTTAAACATCGAATCTTTTCTGTATCAAAGAATAGACCTCGACAAAGAAAAGAATCAACGCATCATTAGTTAAATATACCAATTACTATGTCTGTTTTTGTTCACGATTTGGTTAATTAAACGACAATTATTCAACAAGAATACACCTTCGAGGTTGTAACAATATACTCCGTATTTTCGGACAATCTCCGGCGGGGTTATTCGACCGAAAAACTTCGAATGAAAGAGAGTTAATTAGAGCTGCTATGTTGTGGCATGTTTGAATATCAAACAATCATTTGAATGAAGTCCGATTCAATATATACATATGAACCAAAGCAAGGATACCAATCTGCATAACATTACAGATTCAGATATGTATGCATAAATCTTTCAATGATAGAAGTGATTTACAATCATTAAAGAAAATGTAACAAAAATGAGGAGATGAGAGACATGATGATAAATCGTTGCGTTATTTGGCTGGATAGCTACGATACCATCGTTACCTACAATCGACTGGATCCAAGTCATATAGGCACTTGTTCGTGTATAAACACCAGCGTAGTTTGGTAATGCGCATCGATAGCCATACGATGTTATACCTACAAGTATCCACACTTGATTCGGTTGAGAATAAAACATCAATGGACCACCGGAATCACCTTGACATGTATCTAGAGAGAAAGAATGAGATAAGAGCTATACTCGTTGTCAAAGTGCACCTTTTCCTCCACCGTCGACCGCAGCGCAAAATTGCAGGTAAGTATTTCGAATGGAATATTTACATTTCGACTCGTTACTTGCAACTGTCTTGACTGTTACTTGTCGCAATGAATTAGACACACTACCGTTGAAAGCAGTATGTCCCCAACCAATCGCTACAAGTGGCTTGGCTTCAAGCGGATATAGAGATTGTTCAGTTAATTTGACATTTGGAAGACAAATTTTAGCTACATTGTCGTTCTTAAAATCAATTTCCTTGCTAAGCTGAAGAAGAGCAATGTCATTTTCTCTTGTCTTCGAATTATAACCAAGATGACTAAAGATGCGTGATAACGCGAACCTTTGTCCTCCAGCAGTGGTTAACGAGTTTGTACCTATAACAATTGATGGTAGATTAGCTGAGGATATGTAGTCCACGACACAATGTGCTGCTGTAAGAACATAATGAGGAGAGATGATCATTCCACCACAGAAATGATTTCCGAAATGGCTTCGTATTGAAACAGCCCAACCCCAGCTATGATCGACAGCCATTTCGCCTCCGACTATTCTTGTGTTGATATTAACATTAGATTTTGAGCAACCGCATGAAAACTTTGTTTTACAAGAAAATAACGTGGCATCGACAGAAAATTCACGATGACAAATGAAGAGAAGAACAATGACGAGTATACATCGATGTGTCATGATGTTTTGTCGCTATTAGTTTTCCGCAAGTCGTGTGTGTGCGTCAAGTCTTATTCTGAAAGTCTCTGAGATAACCTGTGAATCTATGCAAAACAAGTTTATCTCAAAGTGAATAAATATCACATTGGCGCTTTCCAGTTGTAATTTGCTTCTGCCTGATTTCCTTTCTTATTACATCAACAGGAATTTGTATTTTCAAAAGTTTATTCACGCTAATAAAGATATTCTCTACAGACAACATATGAATTTCATTTACAAAATTCTGTTGATTGGAATGTATGATAAGTATGCATCGAAAACAGCTATACAATTGTGTACAGATCAGTCAATATTTGATTTAACATCCTAAATAATACATATATTTATACCGAAAAACACAAATGTTTCATTTACCATGATTCGAGCCACTCGCTCTACATTAGTACCAGTCTGTTCAATTTACATCACATCTGCTGTCGATACAAATAGAGAATAGAACAAAAATGCCATTTGAGTTCGAACACTTCGTTCTTTTCCTCTTCATCTTTCTCGTTTTTTTTTCAAACTGACCTTTTTGCTCTCTCCTTACTCCGATACAATCGATCAATTTACATGAACGATCATAAAAGACCGAAATCAACTGTTCACCTGCATACAGGACGAAAAGGTCATAGATCCGATAACCTTTTGACAATGAAATGTACAACTAAAATCAAATTAAGCTTAGAACAGCAGATTTTTCTTCCTATGTGTTCATATTTTCATCGATATTAAACAGTAATAAACAAGACAAAAGAAAAAGAAACGAACAGACAGTTCCTAGTAGTTGTCACGAGCCATTTTTTCCAATGCTCGAATGCGTGCACGGTACCGACTAGTAAATTCGCTTGCAAGATATTTGAAAATTTCACTTATACCCTTGTTATCCTTCTGAAAACAAGAAGACAACAGTCTATGATTTATATCGTCAGCGAAATTCGAACTCACAGCAGAACATTCGAAGAATCCCATCTTTCGACTATTAGCCAGTTGTTTGCCTTCTTGTGTAGTGACAACTCGAGAGTTTTCTTTGTCAATTTTATTACCAATCAAAACTCCTAGAATGATATATTCACATTCATCATGAAATAGAAGTTTCTGTTGGACAAATGTTTACCAAATATATTATGATCACCACGAGCTTGGCTTAATTGCTCAAGCCACATAGCACAATTTTTGAATGAACTACGATTCGTCACATCGTACACAATGCAATACATATCCATCGTTGTCCACTAAATTGAAATAGATCTGTAGAATGATCAACCTTCTCTTTTCAAAAGACAAACATACCACATCTCTTAAAGATTCCAGATAAACAGAATTGCCCGAACTATCGAATAGGAAGAATTCCTATCACGAGAAATATCTTATGAGAAGAAAAGCACTCAAGGAAAATTTAGCAACCTACCACCACGTCATCACTATCTGGTACACGAATCTGTTTAAGCACAAGATCAGCTAAATTTGTCTAGAAAATATCAGATGAAATCTATTAGTAACTAACAATGATTTCTAATCTTACACAGTTGTACGTTTTGGGATACGATGCTGCATCGTTACCAGCAACATGACATATGGCTGTTTTACCAACGGTCATATCACCTAAAACTCAATTCGTAGAATTCTAAACTTCGAATCAATTGACAACAAACCTGCTACAACTAGTTTTCCATGTAGAAGTACCATCGTTGAACTCAGTGAATCAGAGAATATGTTTTACGAGAATAGCAGCTGTCAACCATCATGTTACGACGATGGGTAGCAATGACCTTCATTGGCAATAATATCTCGAAACAATTTCATATTATCGATCGTTGAAATAATTAAGAGAATTCCAATGATATTCAATTACTTTCGTTCTAGTGCCAATTCGGATCAAAAGAGACTACTAGTGACAATCAGATGGAATCTAATTGGTCTGGGAAATCTGCCAATGAGTCATTCTAACTCATCTGTCAATACTGTTTTTGACATTGAGAACTTCTATTCAATTCCAATCTAAAGATGGCTTCCGCAAGTTCATTTCGAATCGATCAAAGAGTTTTTATTCCTGGCAAAAGTTTAGGCACAATTGCATTCATTGGAAAAACCGAATTCGCTGATGGTACGGAATCGAATCTCTTGTCAAAATATCTCGCACGATTCTTCTAGGGGAATGGATTGGTGTTATACTTGATGAACCAAAGGGCAAAAATAACGGAAGTGTTCGGAAAAAAGGCATGTTCACCAATTTATTCCATAGAGAATTTCCACAGCTCATTTTAGATGGATCTCTGGTCAAGTATTTCACATGTCTTGACAATCACGGTCTCTACGTTCGACCTACTCAAATTGAATTTATTATCGATGAATCAAATACACATCTACCTCAATCAACATCCAACCATTCAGTCAAATCGCAGTCGAATGGTTCAGAAAACGGTCAAACAAAATCATCTATCTTATCGTCAAAACAATTGAATCATCGTACATCTACGCGAGTTTCAGGTAACCACTTATCCAATCAAATGAAATATGATCTTTTTTCTCAAATAAATAAAATCGTATATGTGTTTCTTATGATAACATAGGATGAAATAAAAAGGATATTCAACAGGTAAACATATGTCAGCTCTATGACACTTTTGTTTTGCTCTTCTAACAATAATTAGAAGTGTAGAGATATATTGATTAATAATTGACAATACACCTAATAGAAAAGTTCGTATAATCACTTTCGATTGATTTTCTTCTCTGAAATGATTTACGGTGATGGTTAATTGAATTTCTTATTTCAATTCTCATTATTCTTTGTCTTCTTCAAGGTTCTACCCGAACATCTCAGTCAATCGATGATAAACTATCAGCTTCTAAAGATGAGACAAAGCAACCCTTAATATTAGAACCACAATCAAAACCAATAACTATTGTGGTAAATGTATTTCATTCAAAACATCGTAAATAATCATTGTACACTTTAGTCATCATCGGAATCTCCGACATCTGATACTGAACAGCTGATATACAATCTTCAAAACAAGATCATTGACCAAAAAGAACAAATACAAACGTTGATTGACAAGCGTCGTGATGATTTCGAAAAAATTAAAGAGTTCGAAAGAATTAAACTACAATTAGAACAAGTAATATGTTCTCTTTGTATAATTTGCTCATTCTTTTCTCAACTGAAAATTTTCGCATTCAGTTACAAGCCAATAAACACGAAGCTCAACAACGTATCAATGAATTGAACGAGAAATTTCAACAGCAAGAAACCGAACTGAATGATGTTCGAGAAAAATTTGCTGCTTATCGTGAAGAAATGGCTGACACCGAAATCCGGATTGAATCTCTAACACTCGATCTCGAAATCGCCGAAGAAAAAGTAATATCCTTCGAATTTCTTCATTCTTATAACCCTATTGGATCATAGTTGGAGATGTTAACATCGGACAATGCTGCGTTAAAGTTTAAACTTGAAGAAGTTGAATTAGAATACGATGTGATGAAAGGTGAGATGCAATTGAATGGATCGAATCATGTAGCAAATGGTCTACAGAAGAAAGCGGACGATGAACGAACGATTAAAATGGAACAAGCGTTAATCAAGTGAATGACATAGACAATGATTGAAAGAGGTTTCATTTCTATCATTTAGACTAAGAGATTTATTATTAACCGAGAAAGCAGAAAATGAATCATTGAAAAAAGAATGTAAATTAATGGAACAAAGAGCTGATATGTTAATGAAAGAGCATGAAAATGCAAAAACTGATATTGTAACAATGCAAGCAACGATAACTGATTTGAAAGAACAGGTAAAACACTGTTTTTATCTTGTTATGAATCAATACATGTCATGTTCACAGGTTGATATCTATGTGGGTGCTCAACAAATGGCTGATATATTAACAACCAAGAATCTTTCGCTTGAAGAACAAGTTCGAGAATTACAAGAAGAAGTGGATAATCTCGTAAGTTTGCTTTTTCTTCTATAATTGTGTTCGCTGATATATCTCATCGTCGTAGGAATCAATCTGTGACATGGATAAAGGTAAGTTCCGTGCGGACAAACATATTGATTTACTAACAAGTTTTAAATTATCTAGAAATTGAAGAAAGTGCCAAAGAAGTCGAACAGGAACTTCGTCAAACAATTGATTTACTCCAGAATCAACTACATGAAGTACGAAGATTGACTTTCCGATCATGAGAGTCTACTGAGAGTGTTAATTTATTTATAGAAAGAGCGACAAGTCGAACAACTTCATTATACAATTTCTGATCATGAAAGAACAATATTAAAATTTCGTGAAAGTCTAAAAAACATGCAAGTAAGATCATAGTTCCGGTTGTGCCAAAACGTTTCTTCTCATCGTTTTCCTAGACGCAAAACGAACAAACGAAAAGACAATTGGAAAAATACGATGAACAATTGAAATTAGTTGGCTCTCTTCAATCGAGCGAATTCAAAGCGAAAGTTATTGAAACGAAAACTTATGGCGAATTCATTGAAAATGAATTACGAAAAGTTCAAGTAGTGAATTTAACTCAACATATCCAATATCTGACATTATTTCTTCCGATACAAATGACAAAACGTGGTGGTGATCATGATTGTATTCTGGTTCATTTACTTATTCAACGATTAGTTGCAAAATGCGAAGTATTAATGAATGAGACATTGAAAAAAGTTCAACGAATTGATCAAGTAATTGCGGATGATGTTTTAAGATCACATCGAGCAGAACAATGGAGTTTTACATGTAAAATTTTACAATCATTAGCCATTTTTGCAATGATTTTAACGAAATACAACAAGTAAAGTGATCTTCATAAACTTTTCTAATTGGTTATATTTTAATTGTGTAGCGTCTTGGAAATATGTAATTCAACTATGCTTCGTCAACTAGCAAATTCTTATCATGACCTACTATCGCATGAAAAAGCGATAGATTTTCTTCTTGAATTGCTACAAAAAGATCAACTGTACGATTCGATAACATTGAATACTTTAGATAAGACAATAAGGTTTTATGAAGTATGACGATGAGCGTTCGTTTGAATTGTATGCGAATTGACTTCTTATTTCTTTTTCAGCATATCTATAATAGTCATTTGGATGAAGAGAAATTTTCCATGGTGAACTACTTACAAGGCGTAATGCGTGTCGTTTCATTCAGTAGTGATGCACTGCAAGCAGACATTCAACGAATACAAATTTTGCAAAAGGTACGATAAAGAATTTCTATATCAGAGTGAGAGAAAAAAAGGATACATTGTCTATGAATATATAGGAATTCGAAGAAGTAAGATTACTTAGGTTACACGAGTTCGTCCTCTGACTGAAGTGACTTGCATGAATGTTGTATTGTTATGTGATATTTAACAGATTTTAATCGAAGAAGAATGCAACAGTCGTTCGTAAGATCGTTTTTGAAAATGTACATATCATGACGATATGTAGACTTTTTTTATTGCCTGAATATGAAAGACCATATTATTGCTAGTTATCCATTTATTGTTATTTTCTGCTTATGCACTGCTTAATAAAGAAAGACTAGTCAACATCTTTGTTCGTAAATGAATTTACTTTTTCTTTAGAACAACAATGAACAAGGGCCATTTACGATGCTGATTAAACGTCTTATGGAAAGCAATGAACAATTACGAGCTCAAGCTGGCAAAGTAATGATTTCGTTTGTAAAGAATCACTCTCCTAAATCTCTATGATCGAAAAATAGATCAATCGTCTTGTATCGGACGAAGATGATTCGAATCGATCATTAATTCTTGATACAGACACAATATCTTCGATTGAATCAACTATTCGACATCTCGTACGTTTGACAAAAACATTTTATGAAATATGTTCTGGTTTGACAAATCAAATTCTCATACTTTCTGGTATGTATGTTCATTGTAACCAAACAATGATGATTATGACTGTACATATCAGATCCAAATGAGCGAATAAGCACGCAAGACATTGAAAGTATTGCTTATCAAGCATGTGATAAGATTTTCAAACAAGAAGATGACGGCCCATACGATAGTTTATGGTAAACAAAAAATGTCAGTTAACTCGTAAGAAGAAAATTATTTTTAGGAATTCAATGTATGAAAGTGTGTCCACTATCATGAAACTTAGAAGTTCATTGGAAGATGGTTTGTTCGATTCAAAAATGATTGATACTAATGAAAAGGTCTGTCTAAATATCGCTAACATAGACTATAATCAGATCGATTTATAGCCTAAACAAGCAATCTATATCTTGGCAGAACAATTCAAATTACTCATGAATGAACTGGAAACTGTTCGCAACCGTTTCGAGTTAAAAGAAGAAGAATTAGTCGATGTTAAAAAATTGCTCAAATTAAAACAAGATGAGATAAGTGAATATTGTATACGTTTAGCATTGAATGACAAAAAATTGGACACTCTTTCGAAACAATTCGATGATGATACATCGAAATATTTACAAATTCTCGAAACAACTCGAATGAATGCACAAAAAGAAATCAAGTAAGTAAGATTGAATGTAATGACAGATCATTTATCAATCGATGTGTGTAGACAATGTGAAGATGCCATGGCTGTACTACAAAATGATAATGAAAAACTCGAACAGGAAATAAATGAACTAAAGGACGGTCTTAAACAGCAATCTGAATTCATGAAAAAGAGCAGTATTGTGTCAAAAATCGATGGTCAACATATCTCATCTCGACAAGTATTAGTACCACACATCAGCCAAGATTTGATCAGACTTGAAACGACGGAACAAGAGGTATTGTCACATGTGATTGAATTTCTTCGGATAAATCTGATATTTATACATTATGTTTAGATCATAACACTTCGAAATACTGTTCGATTATTAAAAGATGAACTATGGCAATTGAAAATGAGTCATACATCGAACGAATTAACAAAACTTGCCACGCCAATGCGAGATACGAAATCGACTGAAATCAATGATATTTATAGAAGTTCAACGTTACTTTTAAATGTAAAATTTTGTTCTGTAAATACTAACTGGTAGTGTTGTTGTTTTGTCTAGGATCTTTTTAGTACTATTGCTAATTATAAAATCACTGGAGAAAATGTTGCTGTTAAACAAGAATTAATACGTTCAAAAATGAAATTAGTTGATCAAACAGCAGTCAGTGTAAGTTGAATCTTTTCCCAATTATATTGATATTTACTGAAGTTATTTAGCTCAATCATCGTCTACACCAATGTCAAAGTCAAATTCTTCCCGGTTCGACTATTCAAACAGGCATGCAAACATTTTTAAATCCACAATTTTCCAAAGTTTGTTTCAATAAATTAAGATGCTTTCTTTTTCATGCGTACATGTTCTAGTTTCTTGCTAAAGACCGACAACTCGCTGCAGAAATTCATCTACCTGGTGAACATGCTGGTGGTGATGTCGATTTGACTCAAGAACAGTATTGTCGTATCATGCAGTCAGCTATTGGGTGTATCTAGTGCAATTATCCATGTATAATCGTTTTGCATAATATGTTTTATAATCAAAATATTTTATCTGTCGAATGCATTTTAACAAGAACAATTCTATAATATAATAAATAAATGAATAATTTCGATATGTACTGACATTTTTTAGCGACTACTACCAGAATGAATCTAGATTAAGAACGTAAGAGATGGTATGAAATCTATATTTATCCAGCATCATGCCAATAAGATCGTTAAGGAAACACATTATTTGAAAACTAGGATTTTTCGAAACCGATTTGACTAAAACAGTTAACAATTCTTACATGTGTTTATACTAAGTTTAACTTTCCAGATAATAGCATAACAAGTTATGTTGCAACATGATAATTGAATTAATTATATATACAGGGGAAGAGGGCAAGACACTTTATCAATTAACGTAACGATATAAAAAATAACATCAAGATGTTGTCGTCGCATCCTACAATATCAAGTAACAAAAAAGCGAAGTGTTCGAATTGACAACAGATTAGTATTGATGATCAGAAACTTAAACAAGCATGACCTGATTAGTAGCCTTGAGTACCGTCCAATATGTTAACCATGTTCAGCTTTTCTATTGCTACAGCAGAATGTTGTAGGAAAGTCAAGGATAATTTGAATTGTTTTCCGAATCTATCGGTCTGTATTTGCTAAATACACTAGAACTGTTCGATTGAAATTATCATATATATCCAGATCAATCAAGAGGAACTTAACTACTATCGGTTTCCGAAGCATACTGATTATTAGCGTTGTCTTCGCTCGAGAGACGAAACTCAATCTGTTTATTCGAAAACAGAACAAAGAAGAATGTAGAAGAACGATAAGAGAAAACAGATGGAGAATGATGTGAAGGTATGTTATGAACATGCCTGTAACACTGATAAACCGGCACCGTAAACTATCGGCAATAGATTCTAGATTGTATCCATGATCAGGATAGACATCAAAGAGCGGGTGTGTTGTCGCGGAAGAGGATTCGAGCAAATAGGAGTGAGCCGTGTTCGTTAAAAATAGCAAAAATACGAGTGTCACATTACATTTGTCAAAACACTATTTTGTTAGTTTTATTTCTCTTTTGAAGTGAGTGACATTAATGTTTACACTTTATTTCAAGTTCTTATACGATTCTTTGCTGTCAAAACAAACAAATACTTTTGTCATATCCAAACGGATGCATGAACATTCGTCAGATAGATATTCAATGGAATCTTTCACGTATTTGTTGCACGATGCTAATTTTGTTCAATTAATTTCACCCTCATCATTATGATTGATCGTGGTGAAAAGCATTCTTTCTTTTTTTAAGCCGAAGTCTATCAAGCTCGTTTGTCAATTGTTGTTTTTCGATCAAATATAGGCTTCGAAAGAAAAGCAGACTGATCGTTTTTGCAATCTAGGCTGAATCTACTGTCTGGAAAAGATATCTGATCTGATTTGATCGTTCAGCATTCTTAGATGAGAATAGATTGAACCATTCAGAAACTACTGGTGTCACTATCATCGTAACCAATCGCGTCGCAGCAAACATTCATTCATTCTTTGTTTGTTGTGCTGCTTTATAAGAGTTCATTCGAGCAAAATTCAATAAATTATTAACAATGCGCGGAGATGCTATGCGTGGTTTGGCCGTGTTTATTTCGGATATTCGAAATTGTAAATAAAATCTTCCGTTTCTTTTTCGTTTAAGTACACTATTGAACACTTCTACTTTTTTTAATTAGGTAAAAGTCGTGAGGCGGAACTACGACGAATCAATAAAGAATTAACTAATATTCGACAAAGATTTCGAGGTAGAGACGAATTCCATCAAATATATTTGAATTTGTTTTCATCTTTTTCGTTTGTAGCCGATAAAACTCTTGATGGATATCAGAAGAAGAAATATGTATGCAAATTATTGTTTATATTTCTGCTTGGTCACGACATCGATTTTGGATATATGGAAGCAGTTAATTTATTAAGTTCAAATAAATATACTGAAAAACAAATTGTACGTAAATGAAAATAAAGATGACAAGTTGTAATTTTTCTTTTTAGGGCTACTTATTTATTTCGGTGATTATGAATTCAAGCACGGAAATGAAACAATTGATCATTCAAAATATTCGAAATGATCTACAAAGTCGCAATCCGATATTTATTAATCTAGCTTTGCAATGCGTTGCAAATATTGGAGATCGAGAGATGGCAATTGCATTTACAAATGACATTCCACGATTACTTATTTCAGGGTGAGAGACCTTTAAGAAAACTTATATAGTAAAATTCTCTCTTTCATTTGATTATTTTGTAGAGATACATTGGATGCCGTCAAACAATCAGCTGCACTTTGTCTCTTAAGATTACATCGCACAAGTTCAGATTCATTGCAATTAAATACTGAATGGACAGCGAGAATTATACATTTATTGAATGATCAACATTTAGTTAGTGAATTGTCTCAATTTTTATCAATATCGGTTTTGGTTTTTTTTACAGGGCGTTGCTACAGCAGCGGTTAGCTTGATCGACGCATTGGTAAAACGAAATCCCGATGAATACAGAGGATGCGTTAATTTAGCTGTGTCACGTTTAAGCAGAGTAAGTTCTCTATTCTCGTCTGTAATAAGTATGCATGTGAGTCAGAGAGAAATATATTGCGAGCCATAATGAACGTTTTATCATAAATCCGACACGGTATATCTGCAGGGAATTTTCTTATCCGTTTCATTACTTCCGGTTATGTCGAGTGCGTGTATGGTATATAAAAGTCTTATTTTCTACGATGTTTAGATTGTCACTTCGTCATATACTGATTTTCAAGATTATACGTATTATTTTGTACCAGCACCATGGCTCTGTGTCAAGTTGTTGCGTTTATTGCAAAATTATCCTCCGCCTGGTAATTGATAGTTTGTAGGTCTTAATGAATTGTACGTGTTTTTCTTCGATTTTTAGAAGATCCATCGGTTCGAAGTCGGTTAAACGAATGTCTTGACACGATACTCAATAAAGCTCAAGAACCATTGAAATCAAAGAAAGTTCAACATTCTAATGCACGCAATGCTGTCTTATTCGAAGCAATTAATCTCATTATTCATATGGATTGTGAGTCGAGCTTATTAGTACGTGCTTGCAATCAACTTGGTCAATTCTTACAAAATCGCGAAACTAATCTCCGATATCTTGCTTTGGAAAGTATGTGTTTGTTGGCAGCATCTGAATTTTCACACGAAGCAGTTAAAAAACATCAAGAGACAGTGATCAATGCTTTGAAAGTGAGTGAAATAGGAAAGTAATGCAATTTATTCGATAGATATGGTGATATATGTTTAGAGTGAACGTGACGTCAGTGTACGGCAACGTGCTGTTGATCTTCTCTATGCTATGTGTGACCGTTCGAATGCCCAAGATCTTGTTCAAGAAATGTTGGCCTATCTCGAAACGGCAGATTATACAATTCGAGAAGAAATGGTTGATTTCGAGATAATGCACCTCTTTTCTGACTAAACATTGTCATTCTTCGTTTTTCAGGTACTTAAAATTGCTATTTTAAGCGAGAAGTATGCAGTTGACTACAGCTGGTACCTCGACGTTATGCTGAAATTGATTCGTATCGCTGGTGATTTCGTTTCGGAAGAAGTATGTAAAATTAAACAGACAGAGAAATATAATATTCGTTGTTTTCTCGATTCTTCATTAGGTATGGTATCGAGTAATACAAGTCGTAGTCAATCGAGCAGATGTACAAAGTTATGCAGCTAAAATCGCATTTGAAGCATTACAAGCACCCGCTTGCCACGAAAATATGGTGAAAGTAGGTGGATATATTCTCGGTGAATATGGAAACTTGATCGCTTTGGATCCACGATCGACGTAAGAAAAAGAGAAATGCTTATTCTGATTGATATTACGTACATTACTTGTAGACCGATGATACAATTTAATTTGCTTCATTCAAAATATCATCTATGTTCTCCAGCAACACGTTGTTTGATTTTATCAACATACATGAAATTTATGAATTTATTTCCGGAAATCAAACATCATATTCAAGAGGTAGGACTATACTTTATATGAATGCGATAGCACACATTTATTTTTATCTACATAGATTCTTCGACATGATTCGAACTATCGCAGTTCGGATGTGGAAATCCAACAACGTGCTACTGAATATCTTCGATTGAGCGAAATATGCAATCCAACTGTATTAGCTACAATTCTTGAAATCATGCCACCATATCCAGAAAAACAATCACCATTGTTAGTACGATTGAAGCAAAAGAAACCGCTAATGGAGGCAAATGGTGCCACCGAATCACAACCAGTCACTTCCGGAAATACTGATGACGGACCGAAACTTACCGAAACAGCAGTAAGATTGTTTCGATCCAAACTATATTTCCAAAGTTCTTGTTATCGTTTAGATACATTTAAGTCAACAAGCACAACATCAGAATGGTCTTCTTGTATCATTGGATACACCAGAATCGAATGGTCATCACGAAGAATCTACTTCTCATCATTCATTATCAACAAAGAAATTCTTATTCAAAAACAGTGATATCATATTTGAGAATGAATTAATTCAAGTCGGAATCAAAGGTGAATCAACCAAGAGCACAATGAGAATTGAATTATATTATGGCAATAAGACGAATTCTCATCTTACTCATTTCTCGGCAGATATTTTCACACCAGGAGATTTGCAAACAGGTAAGACGTCAAACTTTCTTCTTTGTTCACTTGAAAGCGTTCTTATTGTAGCACTTCGAATGAATTTTGAACCGATCAAATCTACCATTGATCCAAAAGCACAGATCAAACAAACAGGAACAATTGATTGCATCAAAGATTTTGCTGATTTACCAACAATGAACATTTCATTTCTGTATGTAAATCATTCATCAGAGACTACAATTTTTATTCATATCTTTCAGTCATAACAACATGCTACAGAAAATCGATTATGCATTCCCATTATATTTGAATAAATTTATCGAGAAAGCCGAGATGGATTCAAACAATTTCTTTCTTCGATGGAGAAATCTTGACAAGTACGTAAAACTTTATTATTGTATCTTTTTCAACTAATCGTCACTACTGAATTTCTAGACCAAATCAAGAATGTCAGAAAATTTTTCCAGCCAAATTTCCAATGGTATACAACGACTGCAATCAAAAGGTAGTTCTTCGCTTGAAATCAAAACTAAAAAACATCACATGTGTTTACGATTTCAGCTGGAAGATTTCGGCTGGAGCAGTTTAGTTGGTATTGATGTAAATGCGGAGAATTTCTGTGGAGCTGGTATTATTAATACTTCAACACAACCAATTGGCTGTCTCTATCGACTCGAACCGAATAAACAAGCGAAAGTAAATATTTCCGTTTCGTTTCATATTCTTGTTCATTTTGTTGATAATTTAGATGTACCGTTTAACCATTCGGACAAGCAAAGAAGGTGTTGCAAATCGATTAACAGAATTACTCGAAGATCAATTTTAATAAACGTTCAAGTCTCATGCAATATACATCTTCCCTTGTTTTTTTTTCTATTCTCGTCATTTATCTCATGCAATTTATATCGGAAAAACAAACTCTAATCAAATTCTTGATGTTGTATTTTAATATTAGAAGAGAAGAATTTGTTTGATGTATGTCTGTTTGTACGCATTTTCTCTTTTGTCGGTGTATAGTTTCCATTCCTCTTGTCACCACCTACTGTGATTTTTTTATCAACATATTAGCGACCTTTTTATTCTCATATTCATCTATTTATTCTAAACATATATATTGTTAAAAAAATAAATCAAAAGAAAAACAGACAAAACTTCAATTTATGAGCAAATGAATATATTTTTCGCTTCATTTTCAGATTTTACGGTCAATTATGTCGTCAGATAGTACGTTTTGCTTGTCGAGACGAGCTTAGGTGTATTTCTTTTCTTTACTAGGATCTCGAAGAGAAATTAAAGTTAGAGGAAATGATGCACAACGACTCAACGCATTGGAACAATTGAAACGAGCAAGACAAGGTGGTCAGGCAGCAGTTGCTGAACAAGTAATCGATTTGATCATCTGTTCATTTAAGAATATTTTTGGATTGATTGGCATTTTAGTCAACGAACAAAAATGAATGTGAAGATGTAGACGGAGACGAAGAGGACGAGGAGGAGGAAGAAGAAGAAGATGACTATGAAAGCGACTCAGCTATGTATGAAGATATTAAACCGTCGACAAAACGGAAATCCAGCAATTCTCATCACAAAGATTCGAAACGTTTGTATTCGAAATGGAAAGAAACGTTTGAGAAATCAAATTTATTTTGTGTATTACAGGTTTGAAGAAAAAACGGCATTCTTCAGGAAATGAAGATAATGATGGCGAAGACGATCATCAGAAAACGAAAGCTTCGGAGTCAAAACGTCGTGCACAAGTTTTTGCTAAGCCACAAGAAGAGTCAACGCGCATGCAGGATATCAAATCGATGTTTGCCGCCAACAAAACACGAAATATACAAAGACAGGAACAAGTATATCTCGTGATAACATTACTATTCCACCGAATACATACAATTCCTTATTTAGATTGAAAAAGATGACTCCGATAAATTGTTGTCGGATATTATGTTTGAATTACAGAAGCCAAAGACTAAACCAACTCATCCATTGACAACGCCATCCGTATCGGTACCAGTACAAACGCCAACAGCAGTTATTCCGAAGAAACTTGAAGTCAAACCAGCAGAACTTCTTCCGCCTGAAGAAATCAAACCAGCATCGGTACCCCAACCGTCGTCACACATACAGAGAGATCTTGACTGGGGCGATGATGACAGCATGAGTTTCGATGCTGTATCGAAGCTGATGAATGACGCAGCTCCACCACCACAGCCAACGCATAAAATTCCCTCGCCACCTTGTGCTTCTAAATCTTTAATTCAATTCGATACTCAAGAGCTTGAATTTGTCACTGATGAACAATTATTGAAGTCAGCTCGAACATTTCATACTTCACCGTCGAAGGAAACCGATCAGAATGAATCGGCTAATAAAGATGAACATTTACGATTCTTTTGGTTCGACGCTTATGAAGATCCAGTTGCTCAACCGGGTAAGACATTCGATAAAATCATGTTGATGTTTATTGTTTAAATTGTAGGTAAATTATTTCTTTTTGGCAAAAGTCCGTTGTTAAATGAAGATAAAACAACGAGCAAAACATTCGTTAGTGTTTGCTTAATCGTCGACAACATTCCGAAACAAATTTTTCTTGTACCCAAATCCGGTGTAAGATTGTTTTTTCTTCTTCTATAAGTTTTCGAGGTTATTTTATCTTCTATTTGTAGAGCACAGCATCCGATGTTGAAGATGAATTATTTATTATTGCAAAACGATTCAAGATAACGAATTATACATCATCAGTAAATTGACTTTACTACGAAAGAGAATACTCATTGAATGATTGGTTCACATTTAGATTGTCAAGAAACGACGCTTCGATCCGGAACTGGTCGCGACTGATCTACTCAATGAAGTTGATGTCGTCGAAATGAAGTATCCAGTAAGATTTCACTTGTAGATCCGTACCGATTCTTAGAAGAAAAACTCTTTTTCAGGCTCGTTGTGCTACATTACCTAGCGATTTACAAGGTGATTTATTTCAATCGATTTATGGTACTAATCAAACTGCACTTGAATATATACTCATCGATAAAAAACTCAAAGGTCCATGTTGGTTAAATATAAAAAATTGTGGTAAGCTGATAAACTAATTAATTGCAAGAAAAGCTATTGGCATGTTTCTTAGCACCGGTGAAAACACGACGCAGTTGGTGTAAACTCGAATATGACGTGGATTATTATCATGGAGCAGATCGTCAGATCACCAATATTGAAATTAGTACTGTCGTCTCACCACCACCGCCGTTGGTGACGATGACTTTATCTTTGGTCACATTGCCTAATAGTAAAACTCATGAAACTGAAGTGAGTAGAAAGAAGAAATTTGACAAATTCATGGAGAAAGTTTTCTTTAGGTTATATGTGTATCTGGACTTGTTCATCAACAATTCCCAATGGATAGTGCTGCACCTAAACGACCATATCAAAACTATTTTGTCGGTCAGTTGAGTGATCATATATAAGATCGTGCAATTCTTTGTCTTTATATTATTTTTTTTCAGCGTTAACTAAACCCAGTGATTGTATTCTTCCACCTGGTCTTATCAAAGCAGCTGAATCTCAAGTAAGAATCATTCACGGTGAACTACTACGACATAAAAGAAGTCTTCTTCCTTCTAGAAAATAAACATCGCAATTGTGCCCGGTGAACGAGCCTTACTAATGTATTTGATATCGAAATTTCAATTGTTAGATCCCGACGTCATTGTTGTAAGTAGATAATCCAATGATAATCATTTGTCTATCTTCGTATTCCTTCTATGTAAGGGTCATGATATGCGCATGTTCGGATTGGAATTATTCTTATCGCGTTGTCAGAAATTGAAAGTTGGTTTAACAGCATCAAAAATAGGCCGCCTTCACCGAACACATGATGGAAAAACTAAAGTAAGGCTTGTTTACGGTAAATATTTCGAAATCATGTATGTCTGTCCAGGTTTCCACGATCAAAAATCCAACCTGTGGTCGTCTTCTATGTGATATCTCAATCTCCGCACGTGAATTATTAACAAAATGCAAATCGTATGATCTTGAAGAACTATGCAAAGTCGTTTTAAATACTGAACAACAGCAACTCTATCGAGCTTATTCTATTGATCAAACAAGAGAAGCATTCAGGTATATCATTACTTCTGATTTGAGCTTTATTCTAATCTTAGCTGAATTTCAGTTCATCAGTATCTGTTGTTGACCTTGTTCAAGCAACATTAAATAATACATCATTAATACTCAATATCTTCTGTCAATTGATGGTCTTACCACTTGCATATCAATTGACATGTATCGCTGGAAACTTACTAGTAAGATTTTCGTGAGAATGAATACAAATCGTGTTTTCTTTTTCCCTAGAGTCGAACATTAGCAGGAGGTCGTTCCGAACGAAACGATCATTTATTATTACATGCATTTACTGAAAAAGATTATATTGTACCGGAACGAACGATCATCTCCAATCATCGATCTGCTCTCAAACATACTCAAGAGGTATTTAAAATGAACATCACAGTCACTTGTCTTTTGACAATGCTCACAAATTTGTCTTCATTTTAGGTGCATAACGAGTCCGATGAAGAACTTGATGATGATCCTAATAAGAAGAAGACAACAAAACCGTCGTCGACATCCTATACTGGAGGTTTAGTCTTAGCTCCGAAGAAGGGCTTCTATGACCATTTTATACTGTTGTTGGATTTTAACAGTTTATATCCGTCAATTATTCAAGAATTTAATGTTTGCTTCACAACTTACATGAAGAAATCGATTCAATCACGCTCCGTTAGTTGACATTTTTTAATTATTATTTTCAAAATTCTTTCTTTCATAATTAGAACAATAGCGAACAAGAAACAAATGAAATTGACGACATTGTTGCTCTTGATGAAATAAACAAAGGTATTTTACCATTGGAAATCTATAAACTTGTGGAACGACGTCGTGAAGTGAAAAAATTAATTAAAGAAAAAAAGAATCTAACCGATGAGCAACTTGTTCAAGTATGTTTTCTTATCTATTCTCTTCGAAGTACACTATTGTCTATTTTCAGTACGATATCCGTCAAAAAGCTTATAAATTAACAGCAAATAGCTTATACGGTTGTTTGGGTTTCAAATATTCAAGATTCTATTGTAAATATCTCGCTGCTTTCATTACATACAAAGGTCGAGAAGTAAGAATAAACGAAATTTTGTCTATTCATATAATAATTATTTATCTAGATCCTCATGCAAGCAAAAACCATAGTCGAACGTGTAAGTTCAAGAATTTTTATGGTAGATAATCAACGTATTTGAATATTTCTAGATGAATTATGATGTTATTTATGGTGACACGGATAGTATTATGATCAATACAAATTCTACCGATTATGATCAAGTGATGGCAATTGGTGCGAAGGTAAGATTCAATGACTTCGTATGATCAGTAATTGAAAGAAGCTTTCGGTGTAGATACGTAATGAAATCAATCGTCAATATAAAAGTGTTGAAATTGGTATCGATGGTGTATTTAAATGTATGCTTTTGCTGAAAAAGAAGAAATATGCTGCATTGATTGTTGAAAAATCTCCAACACAAGAATTCACATACAAAACAGAATTGAAAGGTTTAGATATCGTTCGACGTGATTGGTGTCAATTAGCTCGTTCAACTGGAGAGTAAGTGTTTCTATTCAAAGAGACAAGTTCGCTTACCTAATATGCATTGTAGATTTGTCGTATCAGTTATACTTTCTGGTCAATCACGTGATGATGTTCTCGATACAATTCATAATCGCTTACGAGATCTGGGTGACGAAATGCGTGCCGGTAAAATTGATATTGCTGAA